AACAGCATAGTTTCACTAAAACTTGACAAATTATGTTTATCATGTATTGGTTATGTAAAATTTCAGTGAGTAGCATACTTTTACTTTAATTACCTGCCTTTATGCCCTGCAGTTTAAATTAGTAGTCCAGATCGAAGTACCTGGCGTCATCTTCAAGTGCAATTGTTATTCCATAATCTACACCTAGAAATTTAATTTTGTGAAGACTACTAAGACAGTTTTGAATACCTAAGATTATCCTTTTGCATTCGAAATGGATTATTCACTGGCAGTTATTGATGGGACATAAATCATATAGTTAAGTGCTATATGTGGTGCTTTGGGACATGCTGAAAGTTGATCAAATTTGATATTTTTTGTGACTGTAATGAGGAAAACTCTGCAGCCGATTCAAATTGTAATTAATTAAACATGTAATTAATATATTTAAAATTATACATTTTGTATTTTTAATTCACAATCGAAATTCTTTAATAAAGCGTTTATGAAATATTATTATGAAGTTTTGAAGTTTTGATATTACATTGTCGGCTGATTTATTTTCTTTGTAATTTTGAAGATGAAAAATTTGCTTGTACGTTATAATTTATGTTTCATGCTGATTATATTTGTTGAGAACAATCAAATCTATTCAGTTCTAGCTCCTACTTTATTTGTGAAAATTAACATATTTTGAAAATTTTGAAAATTATGTGCATTGATAAGAATACCTGGTATGTTCTTTGCGTTTAAAGTCAGTTTATTGTTTTTCTGCAGGTACAAATGATATACTTTATGAAGTGTTTAGCTAATAAACACTTATATGTTTAGCTATTAAACACTTATTAACATGTGTTTAGAATTTTAACACATATGTTTATGCCTTTAGATATGTCTAATTTCAAAACACACAAAGGTTAAATTCTAAACAATTTCTCATACATGTTTAGAAATTTTACATGTGTAGGAATTAAACATATAAAAAAGGAGGTGACAACAAAGTGTATAGAACAGTGTTTGAATTCTGAACACATTTTTACAGTGTTCTCTGATGACGGAGAAGGGACGGAAGACCTTGTTGCCATGGTAACGAGTTTCTAGTTCCTAGTCTTTCTAACCAAAAAGAAAAATAAATGTTTATCCCTACCAAAATCTACAAGGGGTCATTATTCCTGGGGTGTCATTTTTCTTCACGAAGATATGCAGATTTTAAGGGTCATGTCAATTTTCTACAGGCAAAAGAGTCACATTTTCGACGTAGAATAACGACCGGGGGTCATTTTTCGACGTGAAAAAAATGACTGGGAGTCATTTTTCGACGTCGAAAAATAACCCTCGGTCATTATTCACGGGGATCATTATTCGTCTTTACACCGGCCACCAAAATTTCGCTGCTGTCTTCCAGGTTGGGTAATGTAGTGGTCCATTATTTTTCATTTATTCACTTTTAAATAATAAAAGATTCATGTAAACGTTATAATCCTGTAGACGTAAAATTTTAGGCTTTGGGAATAATTTTAAAAATTCACTTAACACTTTTTCCTTAGCTTAGGGCTTACATTTGGAATTAATCGCTTTTAATGTTTACAACAGACACTATGTTTTCATAAAGTGATAGATTCGTTTGATGACCAACATTCCCATCGTCAACTTTCCCTATTTATGTAGTGATATTCCTCTACACCTGCATATGTTCTTTATGTCTCCCAACTGATTCGGTATGCAAGAGTATGTCCTGAGTAAGATCAATTTTTAAACCAAGGCAGGCTACTGACAAATAAATTGATATTAAAGGGCTTTCCAACGATCTCCTTTAAAGTCAGCATTTCATAAATTCTGTGGTCATTATAATAACCTTGTCTGCGGATACAACCTTTCGTTGAATCGTATTATGACTGACATGTTTCCCACCAATTGTTAGGCCACTGTTTTTATACAAATGACGAATTACTCCATTTACCTGATAAATACAGAGGACTCATAGCGGATGTGACCGGTCAACAGCTGGGAATGATTACTCCTCGTTGGCACCTGATCCCACCTCTGGTGTTCCAATGAGTCCATTTTTTTTGCCCTGTTCACGATTCATAGTCTTTACTTGATTTATTTTACACACTGAATATTCATCTCATGCATTCTAATCATAGCTAGTTTCCCCTTGGAACATCATAAATACTATCGGAAATGTTCACAAGTCGATATTGCAAAATTTCAGTTAGGCATATGGAAATCGACATTTAATTACCATGCTCAATAAAAGTACAAGTCATTTATGAACACTTCTGGGGCTTACTACTAAATTAAGACTATTAATCAATACTCTTTTGACCCATTTATGTGTAAATTTTTGGTGTTTGTTTCTTTGGTTCCAAAGGATTCCTTTCAATCTACAAGTTTGAATATCATTATACGAAGGTAACACTTGTGGTGGGCTCTAGTACAATGCGATTTAGAAACCCAGAAAAAAACACAGAAAAACCTGTGTCATCTGATATATGCACTGAGGTCAAATTTTGTGTCGAAATAGACAGGGTGTCGGATTGAAGACAGAAAAAACATGGAAAATAGTAAAATGGAAATTAAAATAAAGGTCAGAATTTCTAGTGAAGTAAAAGGGATTGCACAGGTGTCGAATCAGAAAGTTCTCACTGTACTTCTATAAAATGAAATATATGGAGATAACAAATAGTATTCAAGCTCAAAAGTCCATTAAACATTACAAAATAGGTGCAGATCAAATGCGAACCTCCAAAACATCAGAGGTGGGATTAGATGGAGGAGTGAGCATCCCCTGCCGACCGGTCACACCTGCCGTGTGCTCCTTGTCGTGATCGGGAAAGAACGGAAAAATCCGTCGACAATTCAGTGTGTAAATAATGGACTAACAATTAGTACGAAAAACGTCAGTCAGCATTTGACTCAATGATAATAATATTTGCTGACAAGGTCATTGTATCGACCATAGAACTTACGAAATGATGACTTTAAACGAGACTGCTGATATTCTTGTTTCATCAACTTGTTTGTCAATAATTTACCTCGTTTTAGAAATTGTACATACGTAGAGCATGCTCTTGCGTATCGAATCAACTGAGAGATATAAACCCCGTATGCAGGTGATGAAGGTAAATTGCTGCATAAGTAAGGGAAGTTGACGATTGAAAAGTTAAAGTCATCACGTTTATCAATAAGCTTGGTTGTTAGATTACCATTAACGTCTTTTTCAAGTAAAATATCCAAATATGAAATAGATGTGTCAGACTCTGTAGTATCTTTTATCTCAAGCTCACCGAGATATATCGTATCGACATAAGAATGGAAATAACCATTGTTAATTGACAATACGTCGTCGATATATCTAAATGTCGAGTTGAAGGCCACAGCAAGTGTTTTCTTCTTTTCACGTATAAGATTTTGTACAAATTCTGCTTCATATGAATACAAAAAAGGTCTACTAATAACGGGGCGCAATTGGTACACATGGGAATTCCAAAAGATTGTTGGAAGACCTGGTCTCCAAAAACCACATAGATGTTGTCGATCAGAAACTCAAGCATCTTTTTAATGTCAACTTCAGAGTACTTGTGTGTACAATCAGAATGTTTTTTTAACAAAATAATTCTGCAAATGACCAATGACAAGGTAAGTAAATTTACGAGTTCCATTTTTATTGAAAAAGCAGCTGTCAATGATATCAAAAAGCCTGGATTTGAATTTATTGTGGGGAATTATGTATAAAGTTGAAAAGTCGTACGTTTTTAGGATGTTGATTTTGGTAAAATCTTGTGATTTCAAATTTTCCAAAAGTTCCTTCGGATTTTTGAGTATCCACATCTGATTTACACCACTTCTCGAATATATTGTTGCAAAACACTCTTGAAGTTTCCCCTTCACTACTGTTAATATCTTAGTGAGGAGTAAAGAAGAGGCTTGGTTAAACATTTACTGAAACCGGCTATGTATCTTTGTTTGTGAGGATTTTTATGAAGTTTCGGAATCCAATATAGATATGATAATTCAAATTCATTTTGGTTGTTCGGAATATAAAACTCACATTTTAAAGACAATCTATTTCCATTTTCATACGAAATTCTATGAAGTTACAGAAAAGTAGGATTGATTGAATGATTGTCTGTTGTTTTACGTCCCATTCGAGAATTTTCCACTCATACAGAGACGTCACCATATACCGGTGAAGGGCTTCAAATTTGACCTTTACTCGTCACTCAGGGCCATTGAGCAGTGAGGGATCTTTATCGTGCCGACGCCTGCCGTGACAAGGGGCGTCGGTTTTTAAGGTTTCTTCCAAAGGACCCGCAACTTTCACTTCAAAGTGTCGAGCGCATGGCGCAGGAACAGTTGCTACCCATTTTTTATCGACTTAGGTCAGTCGCGGCTGAAATTCGACTCACGACCTCCCGATCACGGAGCGAGCGCTCTACCGACTGAGCTACCGTGAACAGTAGAAAAGTAGGAACACAAATGAATAAACAAATAATTTTTTTAAAATAAATTCTTCAAATTAATAATATAGCTGACAAGCAACTTAGACTAGATATATAAAATTGTATAAATGTACATTGTAAAAAGATGTTTGTATATTTGAAATGATACAATGTCATTGCATTATAAATGTTATGAACTTTTTTATATATGCAACAGAATACATGCTTAAAATTGAGAATACCCTTAAAACACAATGATTAAAATCATTATACCCTGAATAACTGCAACTTAAAATACATCCGTCACTATGTCCACATTTTAGAGTATAACTCAAAATACATCCATCCCAATGTCCATATCTTAGAGCGTACCTCAAAACACATCTATCACAATGCTCACATCATACAGCACAATGCAAGACACATCCAACAATCATAATGCCAATTATACATCGCATAAAGAAATAACATAAAATAATTAACAACTTCACTTCCTTTTTCTTATGGTTATATTCCAAAGAATGATATGATGGAGCACTAAAAGACAGGGTTCCTTGTATATGAAAATGAAGTTATTTGGCACCGAGTTTCACAGTCATTAATAAGTGTTCATTGATTGGTTTGATGAGAAGAAAGAGAATCTATACTAAACAAGGTTGGCATCTTTAGCCATTTTGTAAAATGTACTGTCCTCATCTTTCAGCAATGTTTCTGGACTTTCAAATTCTTTGATCTGACCTTTGTCCAAAACCATTATTCTGAAGAAGAATAAAAGTTGATTTAAATATCTTCATTAAAATTACACTTTTTTAAGAACTAGTGTACTATCACATATAAGATTTGCGGTATAATACGCACTTTTTATTTCTTAGTGAAACATTCTTCTGTATTACGGACGACGAAGAACATTCATCTATTTCTCGAATTTTATTTTTTAAATTAAGATTTTAAGTACTTATGATGTAGGTCATACTGGCTTGCCACCAACGTATATTTATGAGCAGAAAACTGATATTGTAAATTTACCTTGAGTAATCCATGATGGTATTGAGCCTGTGTGCTATGGTGAGAATTGTGCAGTCTGAGAACTCCTGTCTTATGGTTTTCTGTATAAGGTTATCCGTGTCCAGGTCAACTGCTGCTGTAGCTTCGTCTAATACTAGCACCTTGGTTTTCCTTAATAATGCACGGGCAAGACAAACCAATTGTCTTTGTCCAACACTGCAAATATATTACACATTTTTATATAATGATTAACTTAACATGCATAATTCTAGGACGTGTTCTTCAATAATTATTGCTCATATACTGTCCATTGCTTTGAAACCATTTCGTAAATCTTTACCTCAAATTTTCACCTCCCTCAGTACATTCATGTTGAAGGCCATCGTCTAAGGATTCCACATACTTTTTAAGATGGGCGTGTTCCAAAGCTACCCACAACTCTTCATCAGTATAAGACTCAAACGGATCCAGATTCATCCGTATTGTACCGGAAAATAAAATGGGATCCTACAAAATCAAAGTAAATTCGCTTAAACATAGAGTAAAGACTAATTATGAATTTCATTAGTAATATTTTCAATTGCCTGATATAATACTGCAACATACACACAAAAAGAAAATATAAAAATACTCACCTGAGGTATAATTGTGAGTTTTGAACGAAGATCATGAAGACCGATGGTAGATATGTCAACATCATCAATAATTATATTGCCTTGGGCCTTTTCAAGGATTCGGAATAATCCAAGAGTTAGGGACGATTTTCCTGCCCCAGTTCTCCCAACAATTCCGATCTGAGAAATATAAGAATATTTTTTTCTATACAACTATCCTTTGAAGAAAAATTGTCACTTGACAAACTTAATTAAAATTGATATCAAACTTTAGAATAAGAAGCACTTACTTTCTCTCCTGGCATTATTTCGCAATCTATTTCTTTCAAAACCAGGTCCAAACCCTCACGGTATCTTAGACCAAAATTTGAAAATTTTATGTGGCCTTTTTGAGGCCATTCAGGGGCAGGTTTTGTATCTTTAATTCGCCATTCTGCTTCAGGTTTTGTTTCGATATATTCCAAAATTCTTTCCACTGATATGATGTTAGTATCCATTTCGGTAAAAACATGAACAATCCAATGAAGCATACCGGTTATCTGAAAACAGAATATTAAACATCTTGCGTTATAGTACATACAATTTATTATCAAAGTGAAAAACATAAAGTTTTTCAAAGAAAATGACATTTTTATGTACAAAATCTTAAAAAGCAGGTCATTTTATACTGAAGAGAAAACTACTCACATGTCCAGCGTATGTCATAACGAGTGCTATCATCCCACTTGATAATACGTCTCTTCTGTAAACAGCCATTACGCAAGCAATGAAAACCAAAAGGTTTCCAATAACCTGCAAACGAATTCCTAACCATCTGCAATGATTGAAAATAAATATAAAATCAGAAGCTTAAGAAGAAAGAAATTCAACATTATCACAACTATAGCATTTATTGTTTCCTGTACCCAAATACAAAGACCCTTAACTTCGAAAATAGAATTTGTTTTACCTGTAACACATAGTGTTTGTTACTTCAGCCTTATTGTACGCATCTCGTCGACGATCAGACTCATTTGTGAACAGCTGAGTTTTGTTGAAAGCACGAAGTGTTGTGACACCATTGATGGACTCGCTGAAATGAGAGTACTGAGGTGATCTAAGGGCACTGCAGATCCTCCTGGTCTGTGTTGCAGTGGCACTGAAGAGTCTCTGAAATAAGATAAGGCAATAAGCTATATTTCCACAGATGAAAAAATATTTTTTCACTTGAGCTTCATCCAAATATTACATAATTTACCTGTATGAAAAAATAAACGAAGCACAATGGAATCACGAAGTACAATATTTTAGGCGTTCCCATCGTAATGATTGCAAAAGTGAAGAACATATGAGGAATACACTCTAAGAATGATTTTGTAATCCAGGGAAGAGACCAATCTAAAGTTTCCATGTCCTTCGAGAAACGATTGATGATTCTGCCAATCGGCGTTGTATCGAAGAAGCTCAGTGGAGCTCTCATCACACTGGACAGGGCATTCTGGTGAAACGTTCGTGCTGATTTAACGGCGATGTAAGTAATTGAGAGTTGTACCAGAACATCAAAAATAGCTGCAAAATATTATATTCCGTAAGTATCTACATTAAAATAAGGATGCTAAATAATTTATGTACTAAATGGATTTGATTTACAAAGGGTGTTCATACTTCTAATCAGTCCAATGCATCCAAATACTTTAAGTCTGTATCTTTCTCGTGAATGTTGTAAACTTGTAGATATATTAACTGTTGTACAGTTATCTACGTTGCCGCTACTCCATTCGCTCAACCAGTACTTATTATAATGATCTGATATGTTCTCTGCAATAGTGAACAAAAACACGACCAGGAGGAAACGTCCAGCTACCTTCAAATAACTGGTGTAAACAGACCATTTCACCTACAAAAAATTACATATTTGGTGTTTAATACTCGTTAAACTGAATGATAACTGCAGGAAATAAATCAAGAAAAATATCAAATTAATAAAAATCTTGCCTACCTGTCCTGTTTCTATTGCTTCTTCTTCTATGAATTTAGAATCTTTACATTTGTTCTCTGTTCTTTCCTGATCTCCTTTGTCAGACTGGTCAATAGTTGATATCTGTCGCCCTATGAACTTTTGTCTTTTATTTGTTTGCTCTTCATCGTCATCAGAAGACTCTTCTAGTGCATGGTTCCGTACGAATTCTGCAAACGCTCCATTCCTTTCCATTAGCTCATTATAGGTTCCAACTTCCGATACTTCTCCATTGACCATATTTATAATCTTGTCCACGTTTGGTAAAAAGCTTATGGCGTGTGTTACGAGGACTCGTGTCTGTAAAGGAAAAAAAATCAGTACAGTGAGGCAGCGAGTTTGAATATGAAGTTTACAGATCTCAAACATTAAGACAACACATTCTTTTATATCAATATTTTTGCTACCTTATTTCTCAGAAGTCCTCCATTGCCAATGACTTTTTGAAATATATGTCTTCCGACATGTGCATCCACAGCACTTAGAGGGTCATCTAACAGGTAGATGTCCGCGTCTTGGTAAACTGCACGTGCCAGACTTCCTCTCTGTTTTTGTCCTCCACTAAGATTAATTCCCTTTAAAACAAAGACATTATGCGATATAATGATAATTTTTTTTCTAGAAATATTTGTATGTTAAAAATATTTCCAGAGACAATTAAAAGAAAACTGACTAAAATTTTATTTGAATTACTCAACTGAATTTGACAGTAAAACATAATTTGTGATACCTTTTCTCCGATTTCAGTTTCATCTCCTCCCGGAAGGATGTCAAGATCTGTTCGTAGAGCACATGCATCGATTGCTTTATTATAATTTTTCTTATTCATCTTCTTTCCGAACAGAAGATTTTCTTTTAAAGAATTGTTTTGAATCCATGCTTGTTGTGTTACATAGGCAATAGAACCATTCACACAAACTTCCCCGGAAATCTTTTCCATTTCTCCAATTGCTGCTGACAAAAGCGAAGACTTTCCAGCCCCCACAGCTCCAACAATAGCTACTAGTCCTCCGTCAGGGATATCAATGTTTATACTGTGAAAATGAATTGAATAAAACCTATTTATGCATATATTAATCTATTTTTATCAAACGTGAAATACAAGTCTTAGTTGTTTTTATTTTTCCTCATTAGACTTGAAATGAAAAAATCGACAGCTGAAAGCAATTATCTTACTTTCTTAAATTTGGGTTCTTCTTTCCATTCCAAGTGAACGATGCACCTTTCATCTGTATAGACATTACTTCATTTCCACCATGTTGGATAGCTGATTCATCTATTTCCTCGTGATTCAAAAACTTTTGAATTCTTTTAAGAGCGGTTGTTGTCTGTAAAGAGATAGTTAATTATTTTCTGCTGTTTAAACCGTAAGTTGTTTTTCCAAGAGAAAAAAATGAATCATATAATATCAAGGTTCAGGATAAATGAAAAATATAGACCTCCACAAGAGCTGTGATCACATGTGGCATATGTAGAATTGGTCCACGTAGAATTCCAAGTAGTGATATTGTGTAAAATATCTTCTTTGTTGTCATCACGTTGCTATCGTCTAACCACAAATACACGGCAAAGATGACAAAAGCAATCTGAAAAGAAGAGGGCACATAAGTATTCATCTATTGTACATAACCTATGTACGTTACATTTATACATGTAACATTCATACATATATATATATGAGGAAAGTGTTTTAGACTTCATTGATATTCTAAAACAATAAAAAGGATTTCATTAAGCTCTAGTTATGTACGCACTTATTTGATGAAAAGTCATTACCAAAAAGTCTGATATTCCCCAAATGAAAGATGACACTGCATCAAAACATCTCCTTTTCATTTTCCCACGTAGCTCTTGGAATCGAATGGAATCAATTTTGTCTTCAAATGAGGGTTCCCATGCATACAGCTTTAGTACCTGCTCAGGGTCATACAAAGATATAGTAAGTAAAATCTAGGAAGTGATTAAAAACTTTTTACTTGAGATAATACAAAACCAGAAAGCCAAATCTCTCCTCAAATTCAATTTGTCTGATTTTTTTTATATTGTTCTAAAATCTCTCTTTATGTGTTATATGAAAGAAATCGGACATTCATAATTGGAACACTCATCTTTTAAAATTTCCATTAAATGAATATCTAATACATGTATGTTTGATGCTGTTTTAATGATACCATTTATGTTACTTATCTTTCTTTTTTCACAGGTGTTTTGCTCTACCTTAAAATAGGGGGAACAAGTTTTTGTTTACCTTTATTCCATTAAAGACTTCATTTAAAACCTTCATTCTTTTATCTTTGATGTCAGTATTCTCATTCTGTAAATACAAATTGTGTGTTTTGAACAGAATTCATACAACATTAACCCAATTTTTCATGAGTAGTTTTCTTTTTTATAACTTACATTGATTTTGTGATGTTTCTTTGCTATGAATACATTCAAGGGGATGAAAATGAATAGGAGGCTAAATCCAAGGACTGCAGCCAACTTTAACTCCTGGTATAGAAAGTAAAGAGCAACGCATGCCTGTAGAGGTCCTATCCACAAGAAATGTACTTGAAAGAGAGCACGCACAACCCTCTGAGCATCATCAGCCATCAGGTTAACCATCTCGCCAACAGTGCAATCTTTCTTAGCCGTGTTCGAAAGTTTAGTCATCTGCATTAAGAAAAGCAAAAATCTCTGTGTTTCCGATATGGATTTAAGTATAGTATATATATATGTCGAGAGAAACCTGTTTTATAACAGAATATGATAATTATTAAAGTGTCATACCTTTCTATACAAAGCTCCACAGATAGATGTTCTGATTTTGATTCCTATCATGTGACAAATATTGTCGTCACAATTTCCCATTAACACTTCTGTGCAATCAACTATGAATTTAACACTAGCAAATAAAATTCCGTGCCAAAGAAAATCATTACTGTCCTCGGCGAAGTCAATCATTTGCCTGAAAAAAAAATATATTTGTAATGTATATGAAAAAAAACTGCACATCACACTATTTTGATAATAAAGGTTCGACATACAGGAGATCAAACTCTACTCACTTGAAAAGTAAGGGTCCAACAAACTGCAGAAGGTGACGTGACATCCTCATCAGAAAATTCAAAACTATCTCATTCGAATGAATTTTGAAGAGCACTTTAAAGAGACTAGCCTGTTGTATGTTTCCGTCCGATCTGTTGTCATTAATATCAGATTTTACTGAGTAGTTTTTCCTGTTAAAATTGATGAAATATTGTTCAGATAGTTCTACTTGTATAACGAACTCTAATGATAAAAAAGATTACACAAAATAATTTATAAACCTTTTCTTGGTATTAACTTCGTCATGCCATGCTTTCTGGAATATAGGAACAGCTGACTCCGATGTTAAGTCCGCTGTAAGCTCTATCATGTCTTCAGCTTTTAAAGTTCGCCTGTAAGCTTCCCTCACGACGCTTTTCAAAGAAATACAAAACAATATTCATTTAAAGCAAAATAAATCTATAAATTAATATTATAATAGGTTTTCTTTTAGGAGATTTTATATAAATATGAATGTGCTTACCCAGTAAACCAAGAAAACGACAATGTGGAAAGAAATGTACTATTCTCAGCAGAGGGTTTCTGTAAATATAGCAAAACACATTTGTTGATTTTTGGAGGATGTGATCTTACACTTATTAAACAGGAATTCATTTTGGAATCCATTTAGTAAGTACCTTGTATTTTTGGTCATCTTCAGGGAAGCTGTCCACAAATAGTGCCGTCAGAGTCAGCTGAGCTATGCTGAGAAGAGTCTGTATGGACAGGAAACAAAACCTCGTATCCACATTCAAATCATCCTAAAATGGCAAATAATTATTCATTTAGTCCCAAACACACTTATTTTAAGGAGTCGAAGTCAAAAAAGCTCTTTTTCTTAGTCTTACATCAATACCTGTTTGAGGAGGGATCTGACTCGGGACTGAAGTGTCAAAGAAAGACTGACAAACATCAGGAACCAGTACGTAAGTAGAAATCCAGAGGACCTTACTTTTTGTTGGCGTTCTGTCCACATGATATGATTGGCCATAACCTATAAGAAATTAAAATTAATGTATTTTTATCATTCTATGCATAGATCTAATCCAGAAAAGTTTACTACTAGTTAAATCCTGAATTTTTTGATTTTTTTCAAAATATTGAAATTACCAGTGTAATGCCAGTAAGTATGGATGACATGAATTCCGGTTGTCGGACGGCATCATCCAGAGAATTCACATAAACCGTTTCTAAGCATTCCAAGAGTGAAAGGAAGACGAGACCAGAACACAAAATCTAAATAAAGAAATCAATATTACCATTATGCAAAATCTATTATTTGGATGATATAATGATTTCTTAGTTTTATATCTTAATATTTAATAAACTGCTGATGCATTTATATATCACAAGAGAAGAACGAAAAACAACTTTGATTAAACAGAGTGCATTGTTTTTTTTTCCGGTATCCTTTTGATAGATTAAATGAATGTAATAGAAATGAAACTTACATATTTGGCAAGACAAAGGGTAGATTGTTGTTGGTTTGAGCGTTCCTTTGGCAGTAAGAAGAGCCTGAGTGGTGAAAATATCAAGATAAAAATACATGGTGTCCAGGGTAAAACTGTTTTCTGGAAGCAGGGTGTGAGATCTGGAGAAGCAGTGTTCCAGGTCAGATTGGAGTCCTTAAAGTAAATACGGTTTTTTATTAGAGTTAAATGTAAGTAAACATAACGTACATAATTATAACGTAACCGATGTGTTTAAATGTCCAAACATTTACCTTTTAATACATACGAATTTAATTCATCTTAATTATCAGCACTATTTGCTAATATATGAAAATTCCTTAAGTTATAATGAATACATTTAAGGGATATTGAGGAAATCTTGATTGTTTCAAAATGTTGTGCAATACCATTGGATTATTGAACATGAGTATATTCAGTAATGACGATGAGCGAAAGCTGTTTATGTACACACATATGTAAATGTGGGGGAAATGGATCATTTCTTTTGTAACAGTTGTTTAATTTAATTCTCTTTCCTTTTTTATGTGACCTGAACCTATTTTATCTTAATTTCTCTCTTTAAGTATAATATATTACACGAAAATTAATCTCGAAAATGTACATTGTATATCTAATAGCAATAATTTAACAAATGCTTTTATGAATGATATATAGGAAATAAATTCTTAACATACCCAAAGAGAATCTCCCGAACAGTAAAATTCAATCTTGTCCACAATGCTGTCCGTCATCGTACTCGTGTTAAAGGTATTCTGTGGATGACCAATCGAAGCATGTGGTTTTTATGGATCTGAGTGCTATTTTTATCTGTAGTGTAATGCAAGGAAAACCCCAGGTGACATAGATCTACAATACAGAGAGAGAGAGTTCAAGGTTAGTCTTGAAGATTTAAATATTTTGAAATCTATGTATACAGGGTTACTACCACGTGTTCTCAAACCCGTATATCCGTTCTCTGCATGCGGCCAAATGCATAACAGAATCTGTCTGACAATTACATTTTAATATGATGATTAATTATAAATATAGGAAATCCAGGTATATACACATAGAGTATTTAAAACAAACGATATAGTAAAAAATAAAATATATTTAAAGATTAAAAAAAATATTTCATTAAAATTCCATTAAGTGTCGACGGAGTATTATGTACCGGTATTCATTTATTCCAGAATTTTAAAAAGGCTTTCATTTCCTGATAGGAAACACTTTTTTCTTTGTGATGATAATGTTCTTTTTCACAAAATCGTTAAAATAATATTAGGAACCAAAGTGTAACTCGCATAATATCAAAACAAATTTCTCACATTAGAAATCCATGTTTTCTTTGTCAAATCAAGTTGTATTTAAAAGCATAATTTTTCATATCAACTTTAGTTAATGTTTTGATTTATTGTTTACTTAAACATAACTATATATATATATATATATATATATATATATATATATATATATATATATATAACAACAAACGCTATAGTAAAAAGTAAAATAAACATTTAAAGATTAAAAAATATTTCCATTGAATGTAGACGGAGTATTATGTTCCAGTATTCATTTATTCCATAATTTTAAAAAGACTTTCATTTCTTGATAGGAAACTTTTTTTTTCTTTATGATGATAAGGTTCTTTTTCGCAAAATCTTTATTAGGAACCATAATATCAAACCAAATTTCTCACATTAGAAATCCATGCTTTTTTTTGTCAAATCAAGTTGTATTTAAAGCATTATTTTTATATCAACTTCAGATAGTGTTTTGATTTATTTACTTTTACATAACTATGCAAACTATCTATTGAATCTAACTTTGTAATTCATTATTTTGCTAAATAAATATATTTTTTGAGATGCAGTAAGTTTTTTTTAATTATTGTATGTTCTTAATAATCTACTGATTTTTTCATAAAAAAATAATAATTTCAATCAAGTTCAGATCATATAATTGATAATTAGTTTATTTTGTTGAGCTAAGTGTTTCAGTACAAATTCATTTCTATACATGAGTCAGAGGGAAAGTCCGATTCACGGCTAGTTTCTTTTAATCCTTGACCTTTACCTGTATTAATAAACCTATCTCTCTTTTATGTAAATAAAAATAACCAATGTACTAGACGCCCGGTGTCCGATTACTGAGTGTATATGTTCAACAAACAGGTATGAATAAAGGCCAGTATTTCATTTAATGCTTCTACTCTTGGAATTTTAGAATTAAACGGATTAAAGGAAAAAAAATGACGAACACCCACATTGCCTTAATTGTTCCATACTAATTCACGGGGAAAATACAGCATTTTAAGTTTAATAAACAATCAAGATTAAGAATTCCATTCATTAAACAGAAATGAACATTACCAAGTTATAAAACAATTTTTTTAAATGAAAGCACTAAAGTGTGAAGTTAAATTAAAAATCTCTCTAAAATCGAACAGTCATTTAGATAAAAAATATCTTAGTTAAATAACATTGAAGATAGATGCGATAGTATATAGCATCAAATTTTACTAGTGGAGCTAGGTCTATGGTATGTTTTATATATATATATATATATATATATATATATATATATATATATATATATATATATATATATATATATATATATATATATATATATATATATACATGTATATATATTAATGAATATTCTAGCTGTTGTATTTTAACAGTTTGTAATTATCAATGCTAATATGATATTGATATGTTCGGGGATAACAAAGTACTTGTTTAACTTTTTAATAAAGTTCTAAAAATTGGCATATGATGATTCGTATATATAAATCTGGAAATAGAAGCGATAATTAAGCACTTTCTCTGTCGGAATCTACTTTCTATAGACATTTGATTTGACTGAGTAAACATGCTTCGTCAGATAGGGTAAAACCAGCCTTTTACTCAATGAAAATGTCGATCAATCTGACGTACATATGCAATTGTTTATTAACTACGGGACCAGTGTGTTATGGAGGTAGAAAAGAAGGTCTCATATATCTTGTAATTATATTAGAAAATACCTATAAAGGATTGTTTAATAAGTTATACCAGTCATTTTTCAGTCCCTAGAGTATTGTTTTAAATTCTCTTACTTGAGGGAATAAAACCAACCGATACCATAACATGACTACAGTATACAAGGTGCACAAACTTTAAACCAACAAGAATTTCATTGAAAATAGGAGGGAAAATATAATATAATCATTCATTAATATATCTTTTTCTGGGGAATTTTTGCATTCCAGGATCATTTCATGATTGTTTTGAATTAATTGTTTTCTTTATGTGAATTAAAATAAAATAACGATTGAGCTTGAGAATACCCGGAGAAAGTTTATATTTTGCGTTCATCTTCGAGAAAAAAACTTAATCTTGTGATTAAATCAACAAATTACTGATTATGAAGAAAGAGACCACAAGATAATAAAAAAACATTCTAAGTGTTTGCGATCAGAATTTCTATTGATATGGGGCCATGGAAATACAGAATATTGGAATTAAAGCATAACTTGAAATCAAAATAATAGTGCTTATTTTGATTTAGTCTCCTATAGCAAATCATCTTAATAGTTTGGCAAAAGAGTTAAACGAATAAATTCGATACCATTATGTTGTGTTGTGAAATGCTTGCAAAGGATTGGTTAATTCAGCTGTCATGTGCTAGCACACCCATTTTCACTAATTCACGACCAAAACAGAATCCAGATAGCGTAGAACAATAATGTTATGGCATTTGGCATATTTTCATCGAATACACTTTATATATTAACTATGGAAACGTGTGCTTGGGCACATTGCAACTCTAAAATTAGATATGATCCATTTCCTACTGGACTGAAATCATTAATGATCAAATGATCCGTTTTTCTTTATGGCTAAGAAACATAAAAACTAATTTCTCACAAAAGAAATTCATGCTTTCTTTACTCAAATAAAGTTGATTATAAGAATAATATTCTCACAAAAATTTTAGGCAATAATTTTATTTATTGTTTACTTTTACATAACTGTACATAATATATATATATATATATATATATATATATATATATATATATATATATATATATATATATATATATATATATATATATATATATATATATATATATATATATATATATATATATATATATATATATATATATATATATATATATATATATATATATATATATATATATATATATATATATAATCAATGCATTTCTTGATGCAATAAGCATTTTTAAGCATTTTTATTATTGTATGTTTCAATAAGTGTCTGTTTTTAAATATTGTTATTAAAAATTTTAAATAAATGAGTATATAATATTATTCAAGTTTAGATCATATAATTATTGATAATTTGGTTTATTTTATGATGCTAAAGTGTTCAAGTACAAATGCATTCTACACATGCGTCAGAGGGAAAGTCCGAATTCATGACCAACTTATTTTTATCCATGACCTTTACCTATTTGAATACCCTTAATATCTCTCTTCAATGTATTAATTAAATGACCGGTGTCCGATACAATAAACCAAGGTAATGAGTGTCTAATATTCGACAAACGAGTATGAATGGAGGCTGGTCTTTAATCAATTGCTTGTAAATATCACGAGGAAAACCCAGCGTTTTGTAGTTTACAGAACAATAAAAAATAAGAGACATAATTCATCATACCGATCTAGAACTGAACGTTACGAGGTTATAAAATGACAACTTTTCAAAAAAATGGATGAACTGAAAAAAAAGTGAAGTCAAAGTAAATCATTCTCTAAAATCGAATAATATTTCAAATTTTAAAAAAAAATCTCAGTTAAACAACATTTTAGACATATACGGGTTTGCCGAAAACTCTGTTCTTTAGTCGTGCCGCCGCATCTACTTTTACAGAAACACTTAGGTGTCTTATCATATCTTTAGCAATCTCAAAAATGTTCTCCTCTTCATTCTGCATAACGTTATTGGCGATTATCGTGAGCTCAGGATCATAGAGTGTGTTCGCATGATTTTTCTTGTTTGTACTAATAACCAATTCTGGCTCGCATTCAGGGCGTTCTATATTCTCAACCCTTTGTATTCTTTCAATAAGCGTGTCAACAGACCATGACAGCGAATCGATCTGTCCCTGGTGTCTCCCAAGTTCAAGACGCGGCGAGCAGCCTTCAAAAAGAACTAAGGTCGTCGTTTGATAGCAAACTAGATACTAGTAAATTTCGAAACGAGTTTATGGCAAGCATTGACGAAAAATTCAAAGCAATGAATTTGTCGTCAATGCTTGCCATAAACTCGTTTCGAAATTTACTAGTATCTAGTTTGCTATCAAACGACGACCTTAGTTCTTTTTGAAAGCTGCTCACCGTGTCTGTATAACAGTCATTGATCAGTTATTTTCGTTTCAAAATCTTTAACATTCGGTTCTTCCTTCCCACCAGCCATTTTGAGCATTTTGTTAGGGGGCTTTTCAGTTTGCCCGTCTGACGAAAGCCTACGCCTTTCCCTTTCCGATACTTCTGACATTTTCTATTTCATTAACCACAAATATCACACAGTTTGTCAAAAAATCGAATAATATTTCAAATTAAAAAAAAAAACATCTTATAGTTAAACAACATTTTAGGCATATACGAGGGTATATACCATCAAAATTTAATTTACTGTGGAACGTGATCCATTGTATGGTATTTTTTTGTATAATCTAATAAACTTTAACCGGTATTATTGAAAAAAGTAACTGTAAAGAATATAAAGCAACAAAATAATAAAACTCAATACTGACAGTTTATTATACATGCTGATGCAAATTGTCAAAAAAAATTCTGGTAGATATTTATATACATTTAAAAAGTTAAAGATTTTAATAAACTGTTACTTTATGCTTTTTAGAAGTTAGAAATTATACTCGTTTATTACTTAAAAACTGCCTTGATATTATCAATGAATACTCCAGTAGTAGCATTTATGTAGTTATCAATGTTAATTCTATAAATTGGCATATGATGACTCGTATACATCTTGAAAGAGAAGCAATAAGCACTTGCTCGGACGGAATTTACTTAAGGACAGCTGATTTGGCTGAGTAAACATGCTTCGTCAGACAGGGTAAACCAGTATTTTACTCAATGAACACGGCGATCAATTTTGACCTACATATGTAGCTGTTTACTAACTACGGGACCAACAATGTATTAAGTAATGGATATATGCCGAATACTGTTCTATATGTAAAATTATCAGACTGTTTGAGGCCCGTTAGGGCCGAAAACAGTCTGATAATTTTACATATAGAATTGTATGAGGCATATATCTTACTTAAAACATTGCTATTTAAATGTCCAAAAGTTACCTGGAGGAGTCCGATAATTACACAATAGGAGTTCAGCATCAATAGTTTTCTACCTGAAACCATCTAATAAGTGGACAAAAGAAAAGAGAAAGTTTTTTTTCTTTAGACAGGAAAATCAGTGAGTGAACTCTTTTGTTTCATTCATTCAATGGCAGTCGTTTGGCTTAGCAGGAACTATGGACAGTGGTCAGGTGATGAAGGATTTTTTTTATGATTCGGAATATATATTTTTTTTATTAAGTGCGTTTGACATTGATACAGATACAGTGTTGGATGATATCTTCAAAATGCATTTAAAGTAAAAATGCGGATTTTTATCTGAAATTTTTATTGGATGATATAATGAAAATCTTGGGTTTTAAAAGTGCGGTCATTTGCGAACAAACCTCGTTAAATGAAGAGATTGGTTCTTTATCAGAAATGGATTTAAATTGGCTTATTCACATTGCTGTATCGAAAACGCTTTGCAAAAAAACGAATGGAAAGTGTTACTTTTGAGGAAGGTTAAAACTACAGTTTCTTCTTGGGTTTACTATTTTTAACAACTTAATTTTCTCCCGTTCGCTTTCCCTGAATTTTTTCTCCCTAACTTTGGGGGGGGGGGGGGGGGTTCTGAACAAATTAAACCTTGATTTCACTCTAGTTGTTGTTTTTTAACTACTGTCCGAATTTGTTATCACTGCCGTCCGATAATATATTATTGGACTGCTAATTATTATTATCGGACGGCTACAGGTAAATTTTTAGACTGCAAGAACAAAGGCATGACGTCACAGCAATGTTTTAAGGAGGTAGAAAGCATTGTTTATTTATTAGGTCTCCTCTATTCAGTCATTATATTAGCAGATTCCTACAGAGGATTGTTAAATTATTTGCATACAAGCCATTTTCAGTCTATAAAGTATCGTTAGAAATATTCTTACTTGAAGTAATAACTTAAAGATAAAACCGATCGGTACAGTAGCATGGCTAGAGCACACGCTTTAAACCAACGAGAATTTTTCAATGAAGAGAGGAAAACGTTTCCAATTAGATTTCGACTAACGAATTTTGAATTTCAGATATAACCATCTATCCCTTAAACGATTACGTACCAGAATTTTAGATGATTTATAGATGAAAATTTAAAAAAAAAATTGAATGAGCACAAGGATCTAGTCAACACTCACAAACATCATTCATTAATATATTATAATAGTAATGTAAATAGGAATGTTTGTATTTCATAATCATTTTCCTGATCATTTTAATTTTCTTTGAGTGAATTAAAATAACAAAATGACAGATTACATGATCAGATCGAAAACCCGGGGATTGTATTTTGTGTTCATCTCCGAAAATAAAGTAATTCTTGGGAAAATATTAAATTACTGATTATGAAAGACGAGATCACAAGCATTCCACAGATAATAAATAAAATTTTAAGTGTTTGCGATTATAATGTCGTGAAATGGGATAAAGAAATAACAGAGTATTGGAATTGAAGCATAACTAACAACCATAATTATAATGTATATTTTGAGTTAGTCTCCTATAGTAATTAAATTATCAGGTTTGGCAGATAGTTAACGAATTAATGCTACAGTATACCATTACGTTGTGTTGTGAACTATTTGCAGAGGATTGGTTAGTCCATCTGTAAGTGCTAAATAACACACCCTGTGGCATTCGGATGTTAGCAAATGTATGACCAAAGTAGAATTTATATACCTTAAAACAATGATTTTATGACAATTAACCTATGTTCATTGAAATAAACTTTTTATATATTAACAATAGAAACGTGTGCTCGGACACGTTGCAGTTGTAATAATTAAATATGATCTATTTTCAGTAAGATCTAAATCCATATGAGGCAAGAGCAAAGAACTTAGTTAATTATTTAAGAAACGTAGTGCCTGTTTAAAAAACTTATTTTAGATATATTGTGCATACTTGTATTGTCTAAGTATTTTCATGTTAAAAAATACTCGATAATATCAGACCTAAATTATCTAAACTTAGATAGACATGATTATGCAGATTGCTAATTACTTAATTAAACACATCACATGCGCGGAATATTTTCCAGGGGGAGATGGGGGGGGGGGGGTTCCAATTCAACTTTTATAGTTGTCAGACTCAGAAGTATTTTTTGACAAGCAAAACACAAATTAAACAAAAAAAAAAGAAAAAAAAGAAAAAAAAAAGGAAAAAATAAACAATTTCGTCAAACCTGAAAAACCTTTTTTTCGTAGATATCGGAGGTATTAAGAGGATGAATGTTAAGAGAATACACTTTCCTAAATCTCTTTTCTTCCGATATATGACTTTACTACCATTTTAAGAGAAGTCCATGTTTCCCAGGGGGTGGAGATAATTTCTTTGTTACTTTTACACAGAAGCTTTTAGCTCTTATTATCCGTGTGGGGAACCGCCGCCCCCTTTCTAGATCCCTGGCTGCACCAAAATGAAGAAGAATAAAAATGTAATTGTACATTTTCAATCCAAAGTATTTGCCAATGTTTTTTTTTTTAATTTTTTTGAACAGGTACATGTTTTGCTCATATTCTATCACAAATTTATGACAATACTTATTGCAGCATGAGTATTTCTCACAAATTATAAGCGGCCACTTTTTAAGAGTATTTTAATAAAATAAGACAAACAATGGTATGTGAATACAATCATCTTTGTTTGAAAGAATCTTATGAAGACAATATCTCTCTAGGATACATGCCCATTGATCTATTATGACCTATCTATTATGATTTCCATCCAATTTTCGTATTACATGTTCAGCAATTTTTCTCTAAGCCTTTCTATCTCCATTCCTATTTCAATAACTTCATTTTGTTCTTTTCTAATGATAACATCCCTATACAAGTGTTTATGGGTCAATGCAGGACATTCCGTAAGTATGAACAACCGTTTTGTTACATCGACCATTTCAACTAATAGTCTCGTTCTTCTGGCTAAGAAATGAAATGGTAATTCATTTTTCATATAAAAGAATAGACAAAGAAAAAATATACACAGTCGGCAGGGGTTGCTCACTCCTCCATGGCACCTGATCTCACTTCTGATGTTTTTGGAGGTCCATATTTGCCCTGCTACCGATTTGTATTGTTTAATGGACTTTGAGTTTGAATACTGTTCCTTATCTCCATATTTCACACAGTAGTCATACATTTACATTGTTTTGGACTCTTTTCAATTAAACTAAAGAGTGTTGATGAGAAGGCTTGGAATTTTGAAGGTTGAAAGCAAAAAGCCACAAAAAAAGAATATTTTCATAATTTTATTATAAACATGTTTTTTTCATAACAATAAGAATTTCAATGTACAAATAAGACTAGATTTATTTTGGAGTATAAAACATTCATCTCAGATATTTCATATTCTAAATGACACAATGATATTGGATGATGAATGTTATGAACACAAGAAAGAAAATATAAACAAAGTGGAAAAGATCTGGAAAATTAATAAGATGTTAAAAAAAATTAAAACAAAGCATCATACACATTCTCACATAAAAGTCAAAACAATACTAACATATAAAACACAGTAACGAATGACTCATCTGGTAAAAAAAAATATAATAAAATGGCAGAGAACCGGCAAGAAAAAGTATCATAAGAAAAAATAACTTATTTTGCACCTATGTTCCGTCATTAAAAAACCACATTTATATACTAATGAATTGTTTGATGAGACGGAAAGACTTCTTTCTACACGAGATTGGCATCCTTGGCCATTTTGTAAAATGTACTGTCCTCATCTTTCAGCAATGTTTCGGGACTTTCAAATTCTTTTATCTGTCCTTTGTCCAATACCATAATTCTGACAACAGTTAAAATTTAAATTTAAACACCCCATCATAATTACGTTTTTCTGTAATATTACAACATTATAACAGTTTAACATTATAACAGTTTAAATTTAAGGCAGTATAAGATTTTGGTTTTCAATGTGAAACCCTTTTGTTTTGCTGAGGGTAAGGAGCATTTATCCAATTCCTGTAAAACTTTGTTTTATATTGAGAAAAAAAAATGCGAAAATTATTTCATTATTCTTATTATGCAAGCCATACTGGCTTGGGAAATATTCAATCTTCAATATCCCAACAACATACATTTTGGAATAGAAAACTGATATTGTTAATTTACCTTGAGTAATCCATGATGGTATTGAGCCTGTGTGCTATGGTGAGAATTGTGCAGTCTGAGAACTCCTGTCTTATGGTTTTCTGTATAAGGTTATCCGTGTCCAGGTCTACTGCTGCTGTGGCTTCGTCTAATACTAGCACCTTGGTTTTCCTTAATAATGCTCGGGCAAGACAAACCAATTGTCTTTGTCCAACACTGCAAATATATTATAATATCATTAATAATGTTTCTCAAGACATGCATATCACGAATATGAATATCTAACATGACATGAATATCTAAGAGACGTTCTTCAATAATCAGTTCCATAAACATTGTAACAATACAAAGGATCATTTTTGCGAACCCTTACCTCAAATTTTCACCTCCCTCACTACATTCATGTTGAAGGCCATCATCTAGAGATTCCACATACTTTTTAAGATGGGCGTGCTCCAGAGCTACCCATAATTCATCATCAGTATAATACTCAAATGGATCCAAATTCATCCGTATTGTACCAGAAAATAAAATGGGATCCTAAAAAGACAACATGATTCGTTTTAGCATATAGTGTACACATATTAATAGATTATGAATGTTGTGACTAAATTTTGGCATCAATTTACTTCAAACCCTAAAAACAATACTCACTTGAGGAATAATAGTTAGTTTTGATCGAAGGTCATGAAGACCAATGGTGGATATATCGACATCATCAATTGTTATACTGCCTTCAGCCTTTTCAATGATTCTGAATAATCCAAGAGTTAAAGACGATTTTCCTGCGCCTGTTCTCCCAACGATTCCAATCTATAAGAAATAAATAACTCTTTTAATGAACAGTAAATCAATCTTTAAGCAAATAAAAATGGACTTGGCCGATGTAATTGAAATTCAGAAATTGGAAGTCAAAACTATCTGTACTTACTTTTTCTCCTGGCATTATTTCACAGTCTATTTCTTTCAAAACCAGGTCCAAACCCTCACGGTATCTCAGACCAAAATTTGAAAATTTGACATGGCCTTTTTGAGGCCATTCAGGGGCAGGTTTTGTATCTTTAATACGCCATTCCGCTTCAGGTTTTGTGTCCATGTATTCCTGGATCCTTTCAACCGACACAATTCTAGTATCCATTTCAGTAAAAATGTGAACAATCCAGTGGAGTATTCCTGTTATCTGAAAACAGGAAAAAAGATTGTTTCAACTTTATTAAATAAAACGCATACAAAAAAACTTATCAGATTTAATTTCTTTATTTTTTCCACAAAATTTTTTAATGGTAGATTAAAAAATACTCACATGCCCAGCATATGTCATTACAAGGGCTATCATTCCACTTGATAACACGTCCCTTCTATAAACAGCCATGGTACAAGCAATGAAAACCAAAAGATTTCCGATAAACTGCAAACGAATACCTAACCATCTGTAAAGAAGACAATAATTCATTGTAACATATACCAAAAGAGAAAGGCCGTTAACTTCGAATCAAATTTTAGAATTTATTTTTACCTGTAACACATGGTATTTGTTACTTCAGCCTTATTGTACGCGTCTTGCCGACGATCAGACTCATTGGTGAACAACTGTGTTTTGTTGAAAGCACGAAGTGTTGTGACACCATTGATGGATTCGCTGAAATGAGAGTACTGAGGTGATCTAAGGGCACTGCAGATCCTTCTGGTCTGTGTTGCAGTGGCGCTGAAGAGTCTCTGAAATAAAATAAGGCAATGAGTTTACAATAATACGGTGGAAAACTGCATTCTGATCACAGTGATGAAGATTTTCTTTCATCTAAGTTTTAAATAAATTACCTGTATGAAAAAATAAACGAAGCACAATGGAATCACGAAGTACATTATTTTAGGCGTTCCCAATGTAATGATAGCAAGAGTGGACAACAGGTGAGGAACACTCTCTAAGAAAGACTTTGTTATCCAGGGAAGAGACCAATCTAAAGTTTCCATGTCCTTCGAAAAACGATTGATGATCCTGCCAATCGGCGTTGTATCGAAGAAGCTCAAGGGTGCTCTCATAACACTGGACAGGGCATTCTGGTGAAACTTTCTTGCAGACGTTATAGCGATGTAAGTAATAGAGAGTTGTCCGAGAACATCAAAAATAGCTGCAGAAGATAATTATGTAAGTGAGTGAGCAATTGAATACTTGCATTGAAATGAAGACATTGAAATACATGCATATTACCGTGGAATTCATTGACGAAAGATAAACATACTTTTGATCATTCCAATTAATCCAAATACTGTAAGTCTGTATCTTTCTCTCGAGTGTTGTGTACTTGAAGACATGTTTACTGCAGTGCAGTTATCTGTGTTTTCACTGCTCCATTCGCTCAACCAGTACTGATTATAATGGTCTGTAATGTTCTCTGCTAGACACAAGAAGAACAGAACCAGAAGGAAACGTCCAGCGACCTTCAAATAACTGGTGTAAACAGACCATTTCACCTTAAAAAAAGAAAGACTTATTTTTATATATCGCTTTTTTTTGAAATGATAAGATGTATTAATATTGAAATTTAAACTCGGCACTTTCTTGATAAATAACTAATGCCTTGCTCGCTCACCTGTCCCGTTTCTATTGCTTCTTCTTCTATGAATTTGGAATCTTTACATTTGCTCTCTGTTCTTTCCTGATCTCCTTTATCAGACTGGTCAATGGTTGATAGCTGTCGCATTGGTACCTTGGGTCTTTCATCACTTTGTTCTTCTTCATCAGACGCAGATTCTTCTAGCGCATGGTTACGTACAAACTCTGCGAACGCACCATTTTGTTCCATTAACTCATTGTAGGTCCCAACTTCTGATACTTCTCCATTTACTATATTTATGATCTTGTCCACATTTGGTAGAAAGCTTATGGCGTGTGTTACAAGGACACGTGTCTAAAGAAAATCAATATAACGAGGTTAGGTATCTATTGAAGATTAGTGATTACAATTTACAAAAAATAAGGCCAACATATCAATATCTCTTAGCTGGTGTCGCTACCTTATTTCTCAGAAGTCCTCGATTGCCAATAACTTTTTCAAAGATATGTCTTCCTACATGTGCATCCACAGCACTAAGAGGGTCATCTAACAAGTAGATGTCTGCGTCCTGATAAACTGCACGCGCTAGACTGACCCTTTGCTTTTGACCTCCGCTCAAATTGATTCCCTGAGAAATAAATGATTTACAATATAATGTAAAAATCAAAACAATTGATTAGAGGATATTGATTGAAATCTTATTTGAATTATTCATCTGCATATAACAGACTAATATATAATCTGACTTACTTTTTCTCCTATTTCCGTTTCATCTCCTCCTGGAAGAATGTCAAGATCAGTTCGTAGAGCACATGCATCGATTGCTTTATTATAGTTTTTTCCATTCATTTCTTTACCGAATAGAAGGTTCTCTTTCAGTGAATTATTTTGAATCCATGCTTGTTGCGTTACATAGGCAATAGAACCATCCACACAAACTTCCCCAGAAATCTTTTCCATTTCTCCAATTGCTGCCGATAAAAGCGAAGACTTTCCAGCACCCACAGCTCCAACTATAGCTACTAGTCCTCCGTCAGGGATATCAATGTTTATACTGTGGATGACATCAAATGGAATAAATTATCATTGACAATTGTTTCAAATAATTAATTAAATTATCAAAATTTTTTGTAATAAGATTTTAGATGACGAGGATTCAAGAGTTCAGTGAAAGTATCTTACTTTTTCAAATTTGGGGTTTTCTGTCGATTCCAAGCAAACGATGCATTTTTCATTTGTATGGACATTCCTTCTTTTCCATCGTGTTGAATTGCAGATTCATCTATTTCTTCATGATTCAGAAACTTTTGAATTCTCTTAAGAGCGACTGATGTCTGTAAAAGAAAGGTTGAATCTGTCTCTGTTTCTGAGTTTTTAGACCTTCATATGTTCTAATGATAATTCTAAAAAAAAAATCGAACATTTATTGAAATGTTGATTGATATATACCTCAACAAGCGCAGTGATCACGTGTGGCATATGCAGAATTGGTCCACGAAGAATTCCGAGTAGTGATATTGTGTAAAAGATCTTCTTTGTTGTCATAACGTTGCTGTCATCTAACCACAAATACACGGCAAAGATGACAAAAGTAACCTGAAAAAAAATGAGTTAAGTGTAAAGCTGCAGTTTCATTATGTTCATTTTGTATTTAACTATTGCAACTTTCAAAAGTTTATATCATTGTGCATTTCCACTTATCAATAATTACCAAAAAATCTGATATGCCCCAAATAAAAGATGAGACTGCATCAAAACATCTTCTCTTCATTTTCCCACGTAGTTCTTGGAATCGAATGGAGTCAATTTTGTCTTCAAATGAGGGTTCCCATGCATACAGTTTTAATACCTGTTCAACGAGGGAAGAAATACATCAATCAAAGTAATAATTAAGAATTTTGACAAATGAGAGAAAGAGAGAGAAAGAGAGTATTTGTTTACCTTCATTCCATTGAAGACTTCATTTAAAACCTTCATTCTTTTATCCTTGATGTCGGTATCCTCTTTCTATAGATATAAGATATAATGTTTTATTAGATAACAGAATTCAGGTAACACAACTAATCTTTCATAGGCATGCAGTTTTCTATGAAAGAACTTACATTGATCTTATGATGTTTCTTTGCTATGAATACATTCAATGGAATGAAAATAAAAAAGAGGCTAAATCCAAGGACTGCAGCAAACTTCAACTCTTGGTATAGGAAGTATAGAGCCACGCATGCCTGTAGAGGTCCTATCCACAAGAAGTGTAATTGAAAGAGAGCATGTATAACCCTTTGAGCATCATCAGACATCAGGTTAACCATTTCGCCAACAGTGCAATCTTTCTTGGCTTTGTTCGAAAGATTAGTCATCTATAAATATAAGACAAATTTTAAAGCTTCTCACGAACTTAAAGATAATAAATTATGAAAATTTAAATTGATAGTTTGTTGAATAAACTTTCTCTCCATTGTAAAATAACATACCTTTCTATACAGAGCTCCCCAAACTGATGTTTTGATTTTGATTCCTATCATATGACAAATATTGTCATCATAATTTGCCATTAGCAATTGTGTGCAATCAACTATGAATTTCACAGTGGCAAATAAAATTCCATGCCAAAGTAAATCATTTCTGTCCTCAGCAAAATCAATCATTTGCCTGAAAAAATAATGTTAGGTATTTAGTTCAAGTACATGACAAAGTAATTGCGGATAAACCTCGTAATGAATTGTATATATATTTAAGAGATCAAAAATCTACTCACTTGAAAAGAAAGGGTCCAACGAACTGCAAAAGATGACGTGACATCCGCATCAGAAAATTAAGAACTATCTCAGACGAGTGAATCTTGAAGAGCACCTTAATGAGACTAGCCTAGTGTATCTTTTCTTCGGGTTTGTTGTTATTGATCTCAGGTTTCTCTTCCTGGGTTTTCCTGTTAGAATATGAAGGTATGTATTTATGATATTTCCAATTCCTTCAAAATAAAAAGAAGAATATCATACAATTGATTTCATACTAACCCCTTAAGGGTATTGATTTCGTTATGCCAGGCTTTCTCGAATACAGGAACAGTTGAGTCCGACTTTAAGTTTTCTTGGAGTTCTAACATGTCTTCTGCCTTCAATGGTCTCTTGTAAGCTTCTCGTACGATGCTTTGCAAAGAAACAATAACTTTTTTGCAAAATTATTTCATCAAATAAAAGCATTTTTAAAGAAATACTCTGAAATTGAGGTGCTTACCCAGTAAACCAAGAAAATGTAAGAGTGGACAGAGATGTACTGTTCTCAACGCACGGTTTCTGTAAAAAACAAAAACGGGAAAAACTTTGTTAAACTTGTTGAATTTATGATTGGTTGAAATACTCGAATAGGAAATTAAGGAATTTCTGAACAAATATTATAACATTATTTTTTTTAGATAGTACCTTGTATTTTTGGTCATCTTCAGGAAAACTGTCTTTAAATAGTGCGGTCACAATCAGATTAGCAATGCTTAGAAGAGTCTGCATGGATAGGACACAAAACCTCATATCCACATTCATCACATCCTGAAACGTCAAATTTGAGTGTCATTTCTTTAATTGGTAGGCAAGGATTTTACGCAAGAATTGAAAGAAAGTAGTTAAATATTTTAATTTCTTTGGTTGTTTTTTTTTTTTTGGTCGTACCTGTTTGAGGAGGGATCTGACTCGGGACTGAAGTGTCAAAGAAAAGCTGACAAACATCAGGAACCAGTAGGTAAGTAGAAATCCAGAGGACCTTACTTTTTGTTGGCGTTCTGTCAACATGATGTGATTGGCCATAATCTATAGGAAATCAAAATTAGTGTATTTTATCATTCTTTGGATAGAACGTATCAAAAAGAGTTTATTACTAGTTAAATCCTGAAATTTTTGAATTGTTTTAAAATATTGAAATTACCAGTGTAATTCCAGTAAGTATGGGTGACATGAATTCCGGTTGTCGGAGGGCATCATCCAGAGAATTCGCGTAAACCGTTTCTAAGCATTCCAAAAATGAAAGGAAGACGAGACCAGAACACAAAATCTAAATAAAGAAATCAATATTACCATCATGAAAAATCATATTATTGGGAATTAACTAATAAAAGAATTTGTGTTTGACACCCCAATTTAATGTTATTTTCTTTCGTCAACAAAATGCTACAAAGATTAGTTTTATTTCTTAACATTTATCAACCACTGATGCAATTATATATCACAAGAGAAGAACGAAAAACAACTTTGATTAAACAGGGTGCATTGTATTTTTCCGGTATCCTTTTGATAGATTATATGAATGTAAAAGAATTGAAACTTACATATTTGGCAAGACTAAGCGTAGAGTGTTGTAGTTTTGAGCGTTCCTTTGGCAGTAAGAAGAGCCTGAGTGGTGAGAATATCAGGATAAAAATACATGGTATCCAGGGTAAAACTGTTTTCTGGAAGCAAGGTGTGAGATCTGGAGAAGCAGTGTTCCAGGTCAGATTGGAGTCCTTTAAGTAAAAACGGCTTTTTATTGTAATTCAAATGTGAGTAGACATAATGTACAAAATTTGAACGTAACAAAATTAAATGTAACATTTTTTGTAAAATGAAAGAGGTGAAGATAACGAACAGTGAGCGATTTCAAAAAATCTACAAACAATAAAAAATCAATAAAATACGGAAACCTTTATGATGATTAACAGGTGTAACATATAGACACCGGAAAATTGCCTGATGAAAATTCCTTAAGTTATAATGAGTCTATTTTATTGATATAGTTGAGAGGTTGATTGTTTCAAAATGTGTGCAATACTATGGGTTACTGAACATGAGTACATTCTGTAATGACGATGAGCGAAAGCTATATATTTACGTACACACGTGTATAAAATAAGGGGGAAAATGGATCATTTCTTTTGTTATTTGATTTAATTCTCTTTTCCTTTCTAAGTGATCTGAACCTATTTTATGTTTATTTCTCTCTTTAAACATCATAAAATTCAAGAAAATTAATCTAGATTAAGTTATATTTAATAGCAATTAATTTAGATTATATTTAATAGCAATTATTAAAACAAATTCTTTCATCTAGAAAACAGTTATGAATGATATACAGGAAATAAATTCTTAACATACCCAAAGAGAATCTCCCGAACAGTACGATTCAATTTTGTCTACAATGCTGTCTGTCATCGTACTCGTGTTAAAGGTTTTCTGTGGATGACTTATCGAATCAAATATTTTTTTAATGGATCTGAGTGCTATTTTTATCTGTAGTGTAATACAAGGAAAACCCCATTCGACATAGATCTACAACACACAGAGAGAGTTCAAGGCTAAGTCTTGAAGATTTAAACGATTTTGAAATCTATGTATACAGGGTTACCGCCACACGTGGTCAAAACAAAATACATGTACTTGTTCTTTGCATGAGGTCAATACACAGCAGAATATGTCTGATGATTACATTTTAATATGATGATTAATTATCAGTATAGGAAATCCAGGTATATATATATATACAGTTTTTTTTTTTTTAAAAAAAATGCAATAGCAAATGAATAAATAAATAAATATTTTTTTTTAAAAAATATTTCTATACTAAGAAAAAAAGTCATTTTCTTCATTATGAAAAAGTTCTTTTTCGCAAAATAGTTAAAATAATATTAGGAACCAAAGTGTAACTTGCATAATCCTTGCTCTCTTTGCCAAATGAATTAAGTTGTATTAAAATAAATATTAAAAAGCATATTTTTCATGACAATTTTACATAAGGATTAATTTTGATTTATTGTAATTTTTACATAATTGTACAAACTATATGTATTGAATCAAACTTTGTATTTCATTATTTTGCTAAATAAATATATTTTTGAATGCAGTAAGTCTTTTGTATTATTGTATGTTCTGATAAACCTACTGTTCTTTTTTTTAATTAATAAAATAATTCTGATCAAGTCCAGATCATATTTTTGATAAGTTTACTTTGTAATGCTAAGTGTTAAAGTACAAATTCATTTCTATAAATGAGTCAGAGGGAAAGTCCGGTTCACGGCTAGTTTATTTTAATCCTTGACCTTTACCTGTATTAATAAACCTATCTCTCTTTCGCGTAAACAAAAATAATCAATGTACTAAATGATCGGTGTCCGATTCAATAAACCTAAGTACTGAATGTCCAACAAACAAGTATGGATAAAGGCCCCTATCGCTTTAATTGTTTTATACTGTATCATGAGGAAAATCCAGCTTTTGAGTTTAATGAATAATCACGAATAAGAATTCCATTTATAAAACAGAAATGAACAATACGAAGTTATGAAATGATCTCTTTAAAAAAATAAAGGAACTTTATAGTGTACATGTGAAGTTTGATTAAAATCTCTCTAAAATCGAACGATCATTAAGATTAGAAAAATATCTTACTTAAAAAACATTGAAGATAGATGCGAGATTATCATATATACCATCAAAAACAAGTGGAGTTTGGTGTAAGGTATTTTTTAAATTCATTTATTTATATATAAATATCACACAGTACTTTCAAATACATACAAGGTTCAATAATTTTAGCTATAAGAATTTCACACATCTTTGACATGGTTTTCAAACAATCTTTTACACTCCATAGGTTTCAATAAAGAAAAATAATTCCCAAACATCTGTAAAATTCTTGTACATAATAAGCAGTGATGGATGTTGTAAATGATGTAGCTATTTTATATACTTAAATTGAATTAAAAAAAAAAAAAGAAAGAAACATACAGTGGCAAAAGAAAAAATAAATCAAAAGATCTTACATGCTGGCATTTTTCCTATGTAATTTCTTTGGATGTGGTTTCCAAACAGCATCTTATAAAAGGGAAAAACCGTAAATTGTCTCTTCCTGCATATATCTAAATGTTCAATTTATTAAATTTGTCTATATTCTGGATTATTTCCTTTCTGTTCGTGGACTCGTATCCGAGCTCTCAATGTGGTGCTTGTTTCTCTGATATCAAATTCCTTACTTCCAGGGCATGTTATAATATAGATTACGTTCTTTGTTTTGCAAGACATATCCGAATTGACATTGAAATGTCGTCCCTGGAATCTATACCTGGTTCCCTTCGTAATAAGCTCGCAGCTCTCGCATCTCGGGTCTTTACATTTTGTGATGGAACAGTTCCTTTCCTTGAAATCAGATGTACAAAGAATTCTCTACAAGTTTAAGTCTGGCGTTTGCTATTTGTAAATTGAATATTTCGGTAAATTGCTTTTGTGTCTTCATCCTCCTTAAGTATCCTGTTTAATTGCTTCATCACAGGTGTTAAGTTTTGATTTCCTGGATTATGGGTATGGACAAAAGGGATTATTTGTTTTTTTTGTGCCGTAAGTAATCGTGCTCTGTCATATGATTTTGCCTTATATAAGATGCTGTTTGGAAACCACATCCAAAGAAAAGAAAAAAAGAGAAACACTTTATTACTACCTTAAAACCAAAGAATTAACATTCTTTGATTTTCCCGTAATGACTTACTTTATTACGTTCCGCTAAATATGACGTCATAAAAGATGTCAAAATAGACGTTACTGTGACAGTTAGTAAACTTGTCTGTAAAGTAGGGATGGTAATTTGTAATCGGTTAACCGGTTACTCGGTCGGAACGATGGTAATCGGTTAGAAAATCTGTAATCGGTAAGTCGGGAAAAAATTATATATATGTGTGTTAATCTGAACACAATTTCATAAAAAAAAATCAATTAAAAAGATCTGAAAAGTTAGTATTTTCCCCTGTCTATTTAAGCTGATTCGAAGATGATTACGGGCTCTCCAGATGGACACCATGGGGGTAATTAGTCAGTTTTTCGAGATGTCAATTGTTGTGTAAACACTTTAATTGTCGTTACCCAACCTGTCCCGTGTTTCTTTAACTGCTTTAAATTGAATGATCGTTGAGTAGCGATAATAATGAGTGCCTTACCTCTTCTATATCCTTTGCAGTTACCTATCAAATTGTATTATTAAACAAACATTGTAAATTAAGCGATAGCTCAGGCTAAGTTTTGATTATGGTGACAATGGAAAATGAATTTGCACGACATCTCTTCTGAATTGTTTTTTTACGTAACTGATACATGTGTACTTCAGGCATATCCCATGGGTTTCTTTCTTTCTCTCCTTTTTTTGGCGTATTAAAATTAAAATAATGTATAATGAAATAATGTATATATCTGATAAATTATAAGCATACCGGTAATATTTATTTATTATACGTACATTTTTTTTTTTCAATAGAGCTTACAATTAAGAAATATGTTGGGAATTTTTGATACGATTAACCTATTAATCGTTCGGAACGTCTTACGGTTTACCTATTGGGAATTCTGTAATCGATTGCCATCCCACTGTAAAGCATCTGAAAATTGTAAATGAAGGCGCGAATGCTTTACTGTGTTCTGGGGATCTATGGAATTTTGATATAAATATATCCGGTTATTATATTAGAAAACCGCGATTAAAGATTGTTAAATAAGTTATACAAAACATTTTTAGTCCCTAGAGTATCGTTTGATATTCCCTAATTTGAAGCAATAAAACCAACCAATAAAGTAACATAGCTTTAGTATATAACCAAGGAATAGGAAAAACAAGGTGCACAAACATTAAACAAACTAGGATTTCATTGAAGATATAAGGAAACTGTCTTCCTGCTCGTTTTCCAATTAGATTTCCTCAAATAAATTTTGAATTTCCTTTATAAACAATATATCTCTTAAATGATTGTGTACCAGAATTTCAGAGGATTTTCTTTCATCTCGCATCAAAATAATGAAAAAAATAATAAATTGTAATTATTTGGACACCTTTTTTTCGTTGCAGTGTACTATAGTATATGTCTTACTAATCATTAAAAGATTTTGGAGATAATGAACAGCATTGAAGCTCAAAAGTCCATTGAAACAATACAAATCATGAGTAGAGCAAACACTTCTAAAAACATCAGAGCTGGGGTCATATGTGCCATATAGGGGTAAGCATCCCCTGACGACCGGTCACTCCCGCCGTGTGCTCCTTGTCAGGACTGGGCAAACGAAAAAAGAAAATCCGCAGACAATTCAGTGTATAAATAATGGTCTAACAATCTGAATGAGAAACGTCAGTCAGCATTCTACTTAATGATAAATTGAGCAATTACTTGCTGACAAGGTTATCGTATTGACCATTAAACTTGCGAAAGTAGAGCTGGCGTATTGAATCAAATAGGAAATGTGAAGCCCATATGCAGGTGATAAGGGTATATTTCTACATTAGTAAGGGAAGTTTACGATAGAGAATTTGAAGTTGATATATTCAAATGTCGAGTTGAAGGCTACAGCAAGTGTTTTCGTCATCTAGTGTATAAGTTTTTGAATAGATTCTGTTACAAATGAATACAAAATAGGTCCGCTAATAACGGAGCGCAATTGGTACCTATGGTAATCTGTTACATAGTTAAATATTGCACAATAATAAATATAGCATATTTTATATGAGCATCACGTGTTCCTGACTCTCCCAGCATGTCTGTGCACTGATATTTTTTTCATTGTTAAAGTAAAATTTTCAATATACTATTTAATAATTCTCTACATTATAGGATGCGAGTCACACAGTCTATATGTACAAGTCTACTTCCACTGTCAACAATGGAACAGGAGCAAACAAACTGAGATTGACCTCATCTCAAATATAATTGTGTCGTTTAAAAAAGAAGGGAATAAAATACACTGCCCTTATGAAAAAATATATCTTTGTACACTATGACTTTATAAAAAAAGAAAAAATACTGTTAGTGTATTGAATTAATACATGGCAATTTTTAACAACACTTTTTTTTTTAAATTTTTCTATGGATATAAATGTTTTAAATTTCATTTTGAAAATGTTGTTTAACGTCCCTCTCGAGAATTTTTCACTCATATGGAGACGCCACCACTTGCCGGTGGAGAGCTGCAAATTTTGTCCTATGCTCGGCACTTACGGCCATTGAGCAGTGAGGGAACTTTTTCGTGCCAGCACCTACTGCGACACGGGACCTCGGTTTATACGGTCTCATTCGAAAGACCAGTCTCCACGTCCCACAGTGGAATCAACTCCTTACTTCGCGACTCTAGAGCAGACGCTCTAACCACTGCGCCACGCTGGCGACTTTTTGAATTAATGGTTTTCTTTTTGTGAATTAAAATAACATAATGATTGTGCTTAGAAATACCCAGGGGATTGATTATCTTTTGTGATCATCTCTGAAAATAAACTAATTCTTGCGATATAAATCACTGATTATGAAAAGAAGACCTGAAGATTATCTATAATATTATAGGGCTTATGATTATAATTCCTTGAAACATGGTCATAAAAGTATAGATTATTGGAATAAGGCATACCGTTCAATCAAAATTATAGAGTTTATTTTTATTTAGTCTCCTATAGCAAATCATCTTAAACGGTTTGGCAAAACATTTTTACAAATAAATTCGATACCATTTTGTTGTGTTGTGAAATTCTTGCGGAGGATTGGTTTACTCGGCTGCTAAGTGCTAACACACCCTGTGGCATTAAGATATTAGCAAGTTCTCGACCAAAACAGAATCAAGATATCGTAGAACAATAATGTTATGACATTTGGCCTATTTTCATCCGATAAACTTTGTACATTGTACAATGGACACGTTACATCTCTAAAATTAGATATGATCCATTTCCTGCTGGACTGAAATCCATACCAAGCAAAAACAAAGAACCAAGTTTATGTTTTGGGAAACCTTGCAATGTCTGTGTGGAACAACAATTACTGATCACTTTGAGAAAAAAAGTTTGTTCCAGATATATTGTGCATCTATATTTGTATCATCCAGAGTATTTTCAGGTAAAAACAATCAGGCCTAAATTATCTGGACATAGATAATTCTATTATTTATTTTAATCACTTTAATTACACCAAATGGGCGGATCCAGGAATACATCCAGATCCACATCATTTTGGAACAGGTACATGTATTGACGCAAGGTGTTGTTTATATTCTATGACAAATTTATGACATATTTAGAAGAGCATGAGTATTTCTCACAGATTTTAAGTAGACACTTTGAACAAAGTATTTGAAGACTTTGTTTATCAATTTTATGTGAATATCTTTGTTTGGAAGAATCTTATTATTCAAGATAATTTTGCTCTAGGATACATGTAGGTTGATCTATTATAAGCTATCTATTATGATTCCCACTCAATTTTCATCAAATATCTCTTTAATAGTTTTCCTTAAACCTCTCTCTATTTCCATTCCTGATTCACTAACTTCAATTTCTCCTTTTGTCATGATTATGTCCCTAAAGTAAACGATGGACATTCCTTAAGTATGTCCAATCGTTTTTGTTACACCAACCATTTCAACTAATAGTCTTGACTTTCTAGCTAAGATACTAATGGTAATTCATTTTGCTTTTCAAATTAAAGAACAGACGAAGAAATAATTTACAGTCTTATACTTGTTTTGCTTTTGGCCTCTTATCAATTGAGAAGTCAACTATTTGGAGTGTTGATGAGGAGGTTTGAAATTATAAAGGTTGGAAGCAAGAACTGATAAAAAAATATTTTTTCATAATTTTATTTTCAAAATGTGGTTTTCATAACAATTAGAATTCAAATGCATAAATAAGACTAGATTTAACTTGGAGTATAATAAAACATCACAGATATTTCATATCCTTAATGACACATGATATTGCATGATGAATTTATGAACACAAGAAAAAATATTTATGAACAAAGTGGAATAGATCTTTAAAAATATTATATGATGTAATAAATATAACAAAGCACCGTACACACTCTCGGATAAAAGTCAACACAAGCGCACTGCAACATCCACGTATAACAATGAAAGACTGTCTGGTAAAAATGTAATGAAGTTCTATAGAACTGGCATGAAAAGGTGTCGTAAAAAAAATAAGTTGTTCTGCATTTATGTTCAGTCATTTAAGAATGATACATGCATACAAATGAACTGTTTGATGTGACACACAAAAAAATTCTTCTACACGAGATTAGCATCTTTCGCCATTTTGAAAAATGTACTGTCCTCGTCTTTCAGTAATGTTTCGGGACTTTCAAATTCTTTTATCTGTCCTTTGTCCAACACCATAATTCTGAAATAGAGTAATAAATGATTTTAACACCCCATCATAATCAAGCTTTTTGTAATAATAAAAAATTTTAACAGCTTAGATTTAAGGCAATATAAGATTTTTTTTATTTTTATGTGAAACCGTTTTGTTTTGCAGAGGGTAACAAACATTTATCAATTTCCCGTGAAATTTTGTTTGTTGAGAAAAAGATTGCGAAAATAATTTCATTATTCTTATTATGCAGGCCATATCCCTAACAAAAACGTACTATAGTTAACAATAGTTTACTATAGTTTACTATAGTATCAAAGTTTTTTCACTATAGTAAATCAAAGTATTTTTACTATGGATTTCAGATCATTATATGTTTTGCTCTTCAATTCATACCTACAGATTTTTTATATTAAATTGAAATATTATTTGTATATTCACACATTATTTCCAAATTTTACATTACTGTTATCGAATTTTAGAGATTTTAGGCTTTGAAATCTCAAAAAAAGTTCTAAAGTTTCATAGTAAATCAAAGTATCAAAGTTTTCACTATAGTTAACTGTAGTAATCTATAGTTAACTATAGTAAATTTTTGTTAGGGATTGGCTTGGGAAACATTCAATTTTTAGTATCCCAACAATATACATTTTGGAACAGAAAACTGATATTGTAAATTTACTTTGAGTAATCCATGATGGTATTGAGTCTGTGTGCTATGGTGAGAATTGTGCAATCTGAGAACTCCTGTCTTATGGTTTTCTGTATAAGGTTATCCGTGTCCAGGTCAACTGCTGCTGTGGCTTCGTCTAATACTAGCACCTTGGTTTTCCTTAATAATGCACGGGCAAGACAAACCAATTGTCTTTGTCCAACACTGCAAATTCATTATAATATCATAAATAATGTTTCTCAAGACATGCATTTTTCTAAGAGACGTTCTTCAATAATCAATTCTATCAACATTGTATCAATTACAAGGGATAATTTTTGCGAACCCTTACCTCAAATTTTCACCTCCCTCACTACATTCATGTTGAAGGCCATCATCTAGAGATTCCACATACTTTTTAAGATGGGCGTGCTCCAGAGCTACCCATAATTCATCATCAGTATAAGACTCAAATGGATCCAAATTCATCCGTATTGTACCAGAAAATAAAATGGGATCCTAAAAAGACCACATGATTCGTTTTAGCATATAGTGTACACATATTAATAGATTACGAATGTTGTGACTAAATTTTGTCATCAATTTACTTCAAACCCTTAAAACAATACTCACTTGAGGAATAATAGTTAGTTTTGATCGAAGGTCATGAAGACCAATGGTGGATATATCGACATCATCAATTGTTATACTGCCTTCAGCCTTTTCAATGATTCTGAATAATCCAAGAGTTAAAGACGATTTTCCTGCGCCTGTTCTCCCAACGATTCCAATCTATAAAAAATAAATAACTCTTTTAATGAACAGTAAATCAATCTTTAAGCAAATAAAAATGGACTTGATCGATGTAATTGAAATTCAGAAATTGGAAATCAAAATTATCTGTTCTTACTTTTTCTCCTGGCATTATTTCACAGTCTATTTCTTTCAAAACCAGGTCCAAACCCTCACGGTATCTCAGACCAAAATTTGAAAATTTGACATGGCCTTTTTGGGGCCATTCAGGGGCAGGTTTTGTATCTTTAATACGCCATTCCGCTTCAGGTTTTGTGTCCATGTATTCCTGGATCCTTTCAACCGACACAATTCTAGTATCCATTTCAGTAAAAATGTGAACAATCCAGTGGAGTATTCCTGTTATCTGAAAACAGGAAAAAAGATTGTTTCAACTATATTAAATATAAAGCATACAAAAAACTTATCATATTTAATTCTTTTATTTTTTCCACAAAATTTTTTAATGGTAGATTATAACAACTAAAGTATATTAAGAAAAAAATACTCACATGCCCAGCATATGTCATTACAAGGGCTATCATCCCACTTGATAACACGTCCCTTCTATAAACAGCCATGGTGCAAGCAATGAAAACCAAAAGATTTCCGATAAACTGCAAACGAATACCTAACCATCTGTAAAGAAGACAATAATTCATTGTAACATATACTAAAAGAAAAAGGCCGTTAACTTCGAATCAAATTTTAGAATTTATTTTTACCTGTAACACATGGTATTTGTTACTTCAGCCTTATTGTACGCGTCTTGCCGACGATCAGACTCATTGGTGAACAACTGAGTTTTGTTGAAAGCACGAAGTGTTGTGACACCATTGATGGATTCGCTGAAATGAGAGTACTGAGGTGATCTAAGGGCACTGCAGATCCTTCTGGTCTGTGTTGCAGTGGCGCTGAAGAGTCTCTGAAATAAAATAAGGCAATGAGTTTACAATAAATCGGTGGAAAACTGCATTCTTATCACAATGATGAAGATTTTCTTTCATCTAAGTTTTAAATAAATTACCTGTATGAAAAAATAAACGAAGCACAATGGAATCACGAAGTACATTATTTTAGGCGTTCCCAATGTAATGATAGCAAGAGTGGACAACAGGTGAGGAACACTCTCTAAGAAAGACTTTGTTATCCAGGGAAGAGACCAATCTAAAGTTTCCATGTCCTTCGAAAAACGATTGATGATCCTGCCAATCGGCGTTGTATCGAAGAAGCTCAAGGGTGCTCTCATAACACTGGACAGGGCATTCTGGTGAAACTTTCTTGCAGACGTTATAGCGATGTAAGTAATAGAGAGTTGTCCGAGAACATCAAAAATAGCTGCAGAAGATAATTATGTAAGTGAGTGAGCAATTGAATACTTGCATTGAAATGAAGACATTGAAATACATGCATATTACCGTGGAATTCATTGACGAAAGATAAACATACTTTTGATCATTCCAATTAATCCAAATACTGTAAGTCTGTATCTTTCTCTCGAGTGTTGTGTACTTGAAGACATGTTTACTGCAGTGCAGTTATCTGTGTTTTCACTGCTCCATTCGCTCAACCAGTACTGATTATAATGGTCTGTAATGTTCTCTGCTAGACACAAGAAGAACAGAACCAGAAGGAAACGTCCAGCGACCTTCAAATAACTGGTGTAAACAGACCATTTCACCTTAAAAAAAGAAAGACTTATTTTTATATATCGCTTTTTTTTGAAATGATAAGATGTATTAATATTGAAATTTAAACTCGGCACTTTCTTGATAAATAACTAATGCCTTGCTCGCTCACCTGTCCCGTTTCTATTGCTTCTTCTTCTATGAATTTGGAATCTTTACATTTGCTCTCTGTTCTTTCCTGATCTCCTTTATCAGACTGGTCAATGGTTGATAGCTGTCGCATTGGTACCTTGGGTCTTTCATCACTTTGTTCTTCTTCATCAGACGCAGATTCTTCTAGCGCATGGTTACGTACAAACTCTGCGAACGCACCATTTTGTTCCATTAACTCATTGTAGGTCCCAACTTCTGATACTTCTCCATTTACTATATTTATGATCTTGTCCACATTTGGTAGAAAGCTTATGGCGTGTGTTACAAGGACACGTGTCTAAAGAAAATCAATATAATGAGGTTAGGTATCAATCGACGATTAGTGATTACAATTTACAAAAAATAAGGCCAACATATCAATATCTCTTAGGTGGTGTTGCTACCTTATTTCTCAGAAGTCCTCGATTGCCAATAACTTTTTCAAAGATATGTCTTCCTACATGTGCATCCACAGCACTGAGTGGGTCATCTAACAGGTAGATGTCTGCGTCCTGATAAACTGCACGCGCTAGACTGACCCTTTGCTTTTGACCTCCGCTCAAATTGATTCCCTGAGAAATAAATGAGTTACAATATGATGTAAAAATCATAACAATTGATTAGAGGATATTGATTGAAATCTTATTTGAATTATTCATCTGCATATGACAGACTAATATATAATCTGACTTACTTTTTCTCCTATTTCAGTTTCATCTCCTCCTGGAAGAATGTCAAGATCAGTTCGTAGAGCACATGCATCGATTGCTTTATTATAGTTTTTTCCATTCATTTCTTTACCGAATAGAAGGTTTTCTTTCAGTGAATTATTTTGAATCCATGCTTGTTGCGTTACATAGGCAATAGAACCATTCACACAAACTTCCCCAGAAATCTTTTCCATTTCTCCAATTGCTGCCGATAAAAGCGAAGACTTTCCAGCACCCACTGCTCCAACTATAGCTACTAGTCCTCCGTCAGGGATATCAATGTTTATACTGTGGATGACATCAAATGGAATAAATTATCATTGACAATTGTTTCACATAATTAATTAAATTATCAAATTTTTTTGTATTAAAATTTGAGATGACGAGAACTCAAGAGTTCAAAGAAAGTATCTTACTTTTTCAAATTTGGGGTTTTCTGTCGATTCCAAGCAAACGATGCATTTTTCATTTGTATGGACATTCCTTCTTTTCCATCATGTTGAATTGCAGATTCATCTATTTCTTCATGATTCAGAAACTTTTGAATTCTCTTAAGAGCGACTGATGTCTGTAAAAGAAAGGTTGAATCTGTCTCTGTTCTTGAGTTTTTAGAGCATCATATGTTCTAATGATACTTTTTTAAAAAATCGCACATTTATTGAAATGTTGATTGATATATACCTCAACAAGCGCAGTGATCACGTGTGGCATATGTAGAATTGGTCCACGGAGAATTCCGAGTAGTGATATGGTATAAAAGATCTTCTTTGTTGTCATAACGTTGCTGTCATCTAACCACAAATACACGGCAAAGATGACAAAAGTAACCTGAAAAAATGAGTTAAGTGTAAAGCTGCAGTTTGATTATGTTCACTTTGTATATTACTATTGCAACTTTCAAAAGAAAAGAGTTTTAAAGTTTATATCATTGTGCATTTCTACTTATCAATAATTACCAAAAAATCTGATATGCCCCAAATAAAAGATGAGACTGCATCAAAACATCTTCTCTTCATTTTCCGGCGTAGTTCTTGGAATCGAATGGAGTCAATTTTGTCTTCAAATGAGGGTTCCCATGCATACAGTTTTAATACCTGTTCAACGAGAGAAGAAATACATCAATCAAAGTAATAATTAAGAATTTTGACAAATGAGAGAAAGAGAGAGAAAGAGAGTATTTGTTTACCTTCATTCCATTGAAGACTTCATTTAAAACCTTCATTCTTTTATCCTTGATGTCGGTATCCTCTTTCTATAGATATAAGATAAATTGTTTTATTAGATAACAGAATTCAGGTAACACAACTTATCTTTCATAAGCATGCGGTTTTCTATGGAAGAACTTACATTGATCTTATGATGTTTCTTTGCTATGAATACATTCAAAGGAATGAAAATAAAAAAGAGGCTAAATCCAAGGACTGCAGCAAACTTCAACTCTTGGTATAGGAAGTATAGAGCCACGCATGCCTGTAGAGGTCCTATCCACAAGAAGTGTAATTGAAAGAGAGCATGTATAACCCTTTGAGCATCATCAGACATCAGGTTAACCATTTCGCCAACAGTGCAATCTTTCTTGGCTTTGTTCGAAAGTTTAGTCATCTATAAATATAAGACCAATTTTAAAGCTTCTCACGAACTTAAAGATGATATATTATGAATATTTTAGTGGATCGTTTGTTGAATAAACTTTCTCTTCATTGTAAAATAACATACCTTTCTATACAGAGCTCCACAAATTGATGTTTTGATTTTGATTCCTATCATATGACAAATATTGTCATCATAATTTGCCATTAGCAATTGTGTGCAATCAACTATGAATTTTACAGTGGCAAATAAAATTCCATGCCAAAGTAAATCATTTCTGTCCTCAGCAAAATCAATCATTTGCCTGAAAAAATAACAGTTAGGCATTTAGTTCCAGTACATGACAAAGTAATTGCGGATAAACTTCGTAATGAATTTTATATGTATTTAAGACAACAGAAGTCTGCTCACTTGAAAAGAAAGGGTCCAACAAACTGCAAAAGATGACGTGACATCCGCATCAGAAAATTAAGAACTATCTCAGACGAGTGGATCTTGAAGAGCACCTTAATAATACTAGCCTGTTGTTTCTTTTCTTCGGGTTTGTTGTTATTGATTTCAGATTTGTCTTCCTGGGTTTTCCTGTTAAAATATGAAGGTTTGTATTTGAGATATTTCCAATTCCTTCAAAATAAAAAGAAGAATATCATACAATTGATTTCATACTAACCCCTTAAGGGTATTGATTTCGTTATGCCAGGCTTTCTCAAATACAGGAACAGTTGATTCCGACTTCAAGTTTTCTTGGAGTTCTAACATGTCTTCTGCCTTCAATGGTCTCTTGTAAGCTTCTCGCACGACGCTTTACAAAGAAACAATAACTTATATGCAAAATTCGCTCATCAAATAAAAGCATTTTAAAGAAATACTATGAAATTGAGGTGCTTACCCAGTAAACCAAGAAAATGTAAGAGTGGACAGAGATGTACTGTTCTCAACGCACGGTTTCTGTAAAAAACAAAAACGGGAAAAACTTCGTTAAACTTCTGGTTGGTTGAGATACTCGAACATGAAATTAATGAATTCTGAACAAATATTTTTATTTTAATTTATTGAGATAGTACCTTGTATTCATCTTCAGGAAAACTGTCTATAAATAGTGCGGTCACAATCAGATTAGCAATGCTTAGAAGAGTCTGAATTGATAGGACACAAAACCTCGTATCCACAATCATCTCATCCTGAAACGTCAAATTTGAGTGTCATTTCTTCAATTGGTTTTCAATCATTTTACGGGAGAAGTAAAAGAAAAAAGTTAAACATTTTAATTTTTCGTTTTTCTTGTGCTACCTGTTTGAGGAGGGATCTGACTCGGGACTGAAGTGTCAAAGAAAAGCTGACAAACATCAGGAACCAGTAGGTAAGTAGAAATCCAGAGGATCTTATTTTTTGTTGGCGTTCTGTCCACATGATGTGATTGGCCACAATCTTAATATAGTAAATCAAAATCAATTCCAGAATCATTCTATCAATAACGCTGATTACAACAATGTAATGAAGTGTATTACAAGTTCTATATTCTGATTTTACAATAGATGGATGAAATAAAATTACCAGTGTTATTCCAGTAAGTATGGAGGACATAAATTCCGGTTGTCGAACTGCATCATTGAGAGAATTCACATAAATTGTTTCCAAGCATCCCAGGATTGAAAGCAAGATGAGTCCAGAACACAAAATCTAAAATTAAATAATATCACCACCTTAAAGATATCATTTCATGATTTTTTTCCCCGATGTTTTGTTTTTTTGTTGTTTATTTTTTTTTTCAATAAAAAAAAATTTTTAGCATTTATTATCTTCGGCAAAGTATGCCTTTTGGGAAAAAAAAAACACCATCATAAATACATGTACTTACAAATTTGGCAAGACTAAGCGTAGAGTGTTGTTGGTTTGAGCGTTCATTTGGCAGTAAGAAGAGCCTGAGTGGTGAAAATATCAGGATAAAAATACATGGTATCCAGGGTAAAACTGTTTTCTGGAAGCAAGGTGTGAGATCTGGAGAAGCAGTGTTCCAGGTCAGATTGGAGTCCTTTAAGTAAACATGGCGATGCATTAAAAAAAATATATAATAAACATTCAAATCGAAAAAAAATATTCATAAGAAAAAATGATGGTTTAATATCGGAATTTTATAATCAATGGCTAAGAAGACAAATAAAATTTAACTCTTTTCAGAAATAAATAAATAAAAATAAATTAAAAACTAAAGAATGATACAATGGGCTCTGTTTTGCATTCAGAAGCAATTTAAATTATTTAAACAATTATAAAGTAAAATTGTCTTTCAATGAAATTTAAAGAGTCTAAGGAGAATTATGTAAATGCGTGATGCTCTAATATCTCGGACATCAGTCGACAGATATTAAAGGAATAATAAGCAACTTTATATTTTATAATTTTATATTTATATATTTTTTTCAATGTATATAGCATACCCATAGAGAATCTCCAGAGCAATACGATTCGATCTTGTCGATTATAGTTTCTCTCATCGCGTCCATGCTGAGGTAAATTGTGTCTGATCTGACCAGAGCATGTGGTTTTTAAATGGTTCTTGGAGCTAATTTTAACTGGATTGTAACGTAAGGAAAAAACCCTAGTGACTCATATATGTAGATCGCCAGCATAGCCACAACTCTTCGAGGGTTTAAGTATTTAAAAGCTTTGAGGAAAAAAATCAATAGAAATTTAAATATCGAGATTTGTGTATACAAAATTGACGACAGTCATGGCCAAATTTCCAAAACTACTCATTCTCTGCATGAGGTTAGTTACATAGGAGAATATACTATTAATATGTATTGATATGACACATGGTGATTAATTATTGAAAAGGAAAAGCATGTTTAAAGGTATACATGGAACAAGGTGAAAGATATTGAAAAGACGTGTACCATGCGAGGGGTGCACTGTGCGTTTCCAAGTCTGTTAATATTTTTTTCTGGCTGGATATATTTTTCATCAATGATATAATTTGATATATTGATTTCATTTCTGTCTACGAAATAATAATTTTCTCTCTGACTATACATGCTCTCTAAATTGGGATTTTTTTTTAATATCTATAAATAACAATTGTTGTCAGTAGAGACAGTGATGACAACAAGTTAATTACAACATTCCTTCTGAAATCAAATTGGTTTGTATTTCAAACATAAACATATCTATTCAGAATGTGTCTCTCCTGATACATAGTTACATGTATATGCACAGAAAATTTTACATGTACGTTAATTTTTTGATTGTTGTCTCATAAAAAAAATGTTTTGCATAATTACATGTATATATACATCTCTGCAGTAAAGAAACAATAATAAAACCTTTGATTTTTAAATGTATTTTAAAACACATTTTTTTTAAATAAAAAATATAATGAATGTCTGGTCATTGACTTTTTTAAACAGAAATACGAAAGATTGATAATAATTCGTATACAGATTTACTCGAATCTTTGGGATCATGGTTTATTTGATATTTAAGTTTACGTAATAAAATGCTTGCGTTAAAGGAAATCACAATTCTATACCTGAGTCAGAGGGAAAATCTGAATTCAAGGCAATTTCAATCCATGACCTTTAGCCATTTAAATGTACTTCTCACCTACAAGTGTACAAATAATGAATAGATTATATGTCTGGTGTCATTACATCAAACCAAAGTTATGAGTGCCTAGTGTCCAACAAAACAGGTATGAAAATAAGGGGCTCTCTTTTACTTCTATCAATCGAAACACCGCAAAATGAACTACATGTAATTTGATTATATGCACTTAAACGATTGTTCTTTTAACTATTTGTTTTAAAAATTTTGTCAGAAGACATTCTGTGCATTGTGTTACAATATAAAAAAGAAAATATTCTATTCATCACTTTCGTTAATAATTTAAAAAAAAAATGAAAAAAAAAACCTTCAATAACACGTATACCAAGCGCGGGGGAGGGGGGGGAGGGTATCTTATACGTTTCTCAGTCAATTAAGATTTTTTTCTCTCTCTCTTTGCTGGATATATTTTTATCAATCATATAATTTGATATATTGATTTCATTTCTGTCTTCGAAATTATAATATCCTCTTTGACTACACAAGTTCCCCACAATTGTGATTTTTTTGAGTATGTATAAAATTAAGCTTGGCAGTAGACGAATAGTGATGAAAACAGGTTAATTATACCATGTCATCTGAAATCAAATCAGTTTATATTTCGGTTTATTCCACCTATTCCTACTTTTGTAAAATGTAAAATTTTATGTGGGCATATGTGGAATACTTCTGTAAACAAATGATTAAGTGTTTAAACATATAATTACTGTATAAAAAGTGTTTACATGTAATTAACTTCTGTTGGGATTGAGGACAGGAAAAATTGGATTTTTTTTTTTTAATTTTTTTTTTAGTTTTACTGTAAATTATTTTTTAAATGTTTTGAAAGAAAGAGAAACAAAGAAAAGTGATTCATAAATTTAATTCATATTATTTATTTATGTGAAAAACACAATGCATAGACTTATTTATGTAGGATTCAGATTCAATATTTTCTACCTTATTCTTTCAGTATGATTTATAAAATACTTTAAAAATCAGACATAAATAATCAGCTTAAAATCAAACAATATACGTTAAGCAAATTAAGTGAAAAAAAAATCTTGAATCTATCTATTCTGTTTTCTTGCCTAAAGTTTACATTTTCATGAAGCAAAAAAATTTAAGTGGATTATTTTTTTCCCTCTAAATCTATTATTTATTGCTTGTCTTACAATGTATTATAAACGGGGAAAAAATAAGTAAAAACCATATTTTTTCTTTAAAACAATTTAATGTATATTCTGTCTTAAGGTGTACAAAATACAGATAAATCTAAGGTAGGATGTAATTGCTTAACCTAATTGCTATAAAAACAAATAAACTATCACTATATATGTATATGTAATTGTTATTTGCAGGTAGGAATAAGAGGTGGGAATAAGTGGAGGACACCCAAATTGCAAACAAAAACATGTCTATATAGAATGCCTCTCTACTGATACGTAATATTTACGTTAATTTTCTGATTGTTGTCTGATAAAAAACATGCCTTGCATCTTGCATAATTAGATGTACATGTCTGCAATAAAGAAAAAATAAACACTGTTTTGAAAACACATTCTTTTTAAATTAAAAATATTATAATGATTGTTTGGTTATTGACTTTTCAAAAAAGAAATATGAAAGATCGATAATTATTCGTATACAAATTTACTCAACGGGCGAAAATTTGGGATCATGGTATATTTGATATTTAAGTTTATCTAATAAATGCTTGCGTTAAAGGAAAACACAATTCTATACCTGAGTCAGAGGGAAAATCTGAATTCAAGGCAATTTTATTCCATGACCTTTAGCCATTTAAATGAACTATTCACCTACAAGTGTACAAATAATGAATAGATTATATGTCTGGTGTCATTACGAGTACATCAAACCAAAGAGTGTCTGGTGTCCAACAAAACTGGTATGAAAATTATGGGCTATTTTTTTTTTACTGCTTTTAATTGAAACATCTAATTAAAAAATGAACGAATTTGATTACATGAACTTATACGAGTTTTGCTTTTTTCTAGTCAGAAGACATTTTGTCCATGGTTTCATACATGTATACAATATAAAAATAATAAAATATTCCATTCACCATTTTCTTTCGTTACTTTAATAAAAAAACAAACAAACATATATGTTCACTCTAAGGTAATATGTGAAGTTTATATCAATATGATTACACACTTGATTTAAACATTTGAATATGTACACGTAATTATCACTGCTGTGATTTTTATCCGATAAAAGATAGATAAAATGAGTATAATAAAATACGTACTATTTCGCATATAACCCTTATATTAATCAATTGAAATTGTAAATATATTAAATATGATTCTGCTTACAAAACACATCACTTGTCCGGGATGCTCAGTATAAATGTTTCCTTGCTATTTAACATTTCCTGTTTACATGCAATTACTTTTTGCCTAATTCATACAGAGTGGATCAGCTGTACAGCAAGACAAGTAAAGTTTAACCATTGATAGGTAAACGAAAAAGAAAATGTTGCAAATTGTACATAAAGATAAATCTGTACTGCATATTATGTTATAAAATCTCAATAATCACTTAAAAATGGAATTCATTAAATACAGACACAAGAGAGGCCATCTCATTCAACTCCTTCGAATCCGTAGAATGATATGAAGTGATGCTTCAGAAGCATCCTCTAATTTTTCATTCGGTATATGCTTAATTACTAATATAATTCATACAAAATTATGGCATAACTGCATTCTTAATCAAAATTAAATTATTATTGATACTAGTATTAAATTCTTCTTGTTCTGGTAAACAAGAAGATCTTACCATTCTTTTTTTTTTGGGGGGGGGGGGGGGAGGTAGAAAATATGCTAATGCCAGAAGTGATCTTTTCTATTATCTTTTTAGACTTGGTGTAGGTATCATAGATGTACACCTATTTCTTTGGGGCAACGAAAACTTTATCACGAGAGTTAAACATGGGCATTTTTTGCCGCTATTCATAGATTAATTGTTGAATCCTCTTGATTTAAATAGCTGTATAATAATAATTTAGTTTATATAGTTGTCAGAACTTGTTTCCAGTCTATTTGATTATTTGAGTTGGTGGCATTTTCTGTGTAGTGGAAAGCTACTAAATACTAACTCGTTCCTCTTTTTATAATTTTCTGTGTTTTAAATGCTTCTTGTCATTGTCAATTGCCAAAATACACACAATTACTTAAGTATATATGATTACGGATTTGTATTTCTGATTTCCATGCGCAGATGTAGAAGGGGGGGGGGGGGTCATCTTAGAATTACTGTTTTCCTAACTCTTTACAAAGTAGGGCCATATATACCAAACATCGAAAAGTAATAACCAATCAATGTTGGTAGTATGAAATAAGATATTGATAAATTTAATTACATGCAGCTTTTAGCAGCATTAAGCAACTAACAGTGGGCAACAGAAAATAAGCATTTAGGAGTTTGCATATTACACTATGAATTTTGCAGTAAGCGATGAGCCATAGTAACTACTGATTTAATTTCTGTACATACTGTAGAAGGAATAGGCAATCTTCATTTTTAACAAATTTTTGAAGCAAATGAGAAGATTTTGAAATAAATAAGAAACATTAACCGTAGTAAACTTGCTGAGTCAGTCGGGGAATGCCAGACTGGTATTTTTTCAGTTTAACCTACATTGTACCTCTGCAATTGTTTATTAACGACGGGACTAACAGGGTACGAAAGCGTCATTGCATTATTAAAGGTCTTGTCTGTTCATTTATTTATACCTTACCTAATATTTCAATCTAAGAAAAATATTGAACTATAAAGTCGATTATGTCCAAAGTGAAAAGGAGTGTAAAATGTTGCAATACAGGCGCAGATCCAGGAATTTTTTTCCGGGGGGGGGGGGGGGCATCCCAGTCAAAAAAAAAACCAACAAAGAAATTTCTTGACAAGCCCCCCCCCCCCAAAAAAAAAAAAAACACACACACACCCCACACAAAACGTAAACTCCTTTCTCAAACTCCCAATGTGGTGGTGATGGTG